TCTCTCCGGCTCCTTTGGAGATCTTCAAGCCTTTCCTCCTCTGCTCTAGTCACCCCGCTGGCACCTCTCTCTCGCCTGGCCCTGGCTGCACGCCCACCCCGGCCTCTCTGCCCTCTTCCTCTCCCTCTTCCTCGCCTTGTAACCCCCGTGCCACAAACAAGACTTGGACTCTGTAAACGGGGAATATATATTCTTCCAGCGAACACAACCTCGCTGTTAAACTAATGACTACAATTACTTCGTCTGTTTATATCACCATGCAAAGCAGCTCACCAAAACGTCACAACGATGTAGAAAAAATAACGGGTATATTTATTATCTTAAGTCTACATGAAATCTATACCCTACACAGACTAATGAAATACTATCTGTAAAATTATCTATGTAAACAAACCTCATCACTTGAGAAGGTAGGTGATGCGGACGTCGTGGAAGACATTTTGTCCCGTAACGCTCGCCGTACTGTTGGGGGGGAGAAGCGGTGGGGGGGAGATGTTCATGTTGCTGCAGTCTGCAGTCTGACCGCTAGATGTCGCTGAAAATTACACACTGTAGCTTTAATTATAATTTTCACAGTAGTAGGTTGATACCATAGTAACAGTGGGAAATGCTTTACATTTTTTTTGTATACTTTGTTACAGGCAAACAACATCTGGTCCTGGCCCCTGGTCTTGGCCCCTATTATGATCCCTGTATGGAAGACATAAAAGAAATTCTAATGATGATTCGTATGCTTTCCGTGTCCTTTGGATCTGTTTCTTTTTTTTCTTTACAAATTGTGTTTTACTGTTTTCTTTTTTTTTTACAGCTGGATTCATCAGTGGGCTGCTCAGTGACACAGTGGGTAGCACTGCTGCCTTGCAGCAAGGAGGTTCTGGGTTCAATTCCCAGCCTGGGGTCTTTCTGCATGGAGTTTGCATGTTCTCTCTGAGCATGTGTGGGTTCTCTCTGGGTACTTGGGCTTCCTCCCACATTCCAAAAACATGACTGTTAGGTTGAGTGGCTTCTCTAAATTGTCTTTAGGTGTGTGTGTGAATGGTTGTTTGTCCTGTGATGGACTGGCGACCTGTCCAGGGTGTACCCTGCCTCTCACCCATTCGCTGTTGAAGATGGGCACCCTTGGGACAAGCGTGTAAGAAAATGGATGGATTTATCAGTTTTCCCTGAAGTTCTGATTTGATTAAAAATGGTCATTTTTACTTAAAATATGTAAAATTCCTCAATGTTGAGGAGCAGCTAAGAGTGCATCCTATGGCTTTTGAGCAGTGGTTAAGGGTGCAGCCAATGGCTGTCATTTCTGCTCTGTGGACTCCTCTACAACATTTTTACAGATGATTGTAAAAAGAAATATTCTTCACAAGATGAAAAAAATACGATGAGCAACCCTGAGCATCCTCTTCATGGGATTGTGGGGATCTTTCCACCCCAAAGCTATCTTCATTTACGACTAAAACTGGGGTTGCATTTCTTTTCCTTTTGTGATTCCAAAGTGTTTGAACTATAAATAGATATTTAGTTTTTAACTATTTTCTATTTAGATGCCAAAGAGCCAAATAATAATGTTTACCAGGGGTGTGGTGTACCGTGACAATGCCGTGACTTCCAGTCATGCCATTCTTGCTTAGTCTTAATCTGATTATCCCGATATAAACTTTATGAACGTACTTACCGAACTGAACCTGAACTTTTTTTATGATTCTATTATAATCTAACTGTAGGGGGAAACTTTCTGGAACGTTAACTACTAGGCAGATCAGTAACAGACTATAATGTTTGCTTCTGGGTTTTAACATTTTCACAGCTTACAAAATGACTTTACAATCTGCACTTTACCAGAGAACGTGTGACATTTATGTGGTTTTTATTTCTTAGGTATCTTGCTACTTGGAATTCCAGTATGGCCAGCTAGTGAGAGTTTTCTGGGGTGGAGTCTCCACTGTCAGCATTGTCCCTCAGGTAATTTGTTTCCATCTGCCACAGCCTGGTGAAAAAGTTTATACCGATGTTACACCCTATTTGACCCCTCGTACATTGCGACTTAGCGCTGAAGTGGATTCTTCTCACCAGTCTTTTATTCACCAGAGGGAGGGAGAGTATCCTAATAATTATGCTTAAATAAGAAGTTGCTTGCTTGCTGGAAGTGTTACAGTTTTAAAAAATTCTTGCCGTGGGAAAAAAAAAATTAAATCATGAAATTTTTGTATTTTCTTTATGAAATAAAAACTAAACATTTTGCAGAGGTCAATGTAATTAATTACATGTTGTATAAATTCTGTAAATATTTTCAGATTAAATAAAGGACACGTTTAAATAATTCTATAATTTATTTATGGTACCTTGGCACTCGTCGAACTTCATATGAAAATCTTATCTTTTTTCTTTAATTTTTAACCAATTTAATGTTAGCAGATTATAAATTTTGCTTTTCCTACTGTGCAAGCTGCACTGGATCATCTGTTGTGTCCTCATGTGTCACTGGACTTTAAAAGGAGTACAAATGTAAGAAATACAATCGTTGACGTTTCTTGAGCCATCATTTACACTTGTGCAGAGTTGTGCAGCTGATGGCTCAGGAAGCTTTCCTCATGATTCAGGACTTCTCTAGATCCCAGAGCTCACACAAACACAATGAGCCACAATACACTCACCGGCCGCTTTATTAGGTACACCTGTCCAACCGCTCGTTAACACTTAATTTCTAAGCAGCCAATCACATGGCGGCAACTCAGTGCATTTAGGCATGTAGACATGGTCAAGACAATCTCCTGCAGTTCAAAGCGAGCATCAGTATGGGGAAGAAAGGTGATTTGAGTGACTTTGAACGTGGCATGATTGTTGGTGCCAGAAGGGCTGGTCTGAGTATTTCAGAAACTGCTGATCTACTGGGATTTTTACGCACAACCATCTCTAGGGTTTACAGAGAATGGTCCGAAAAAGAAAAAACATCCAGTGAGCGGCAGTTCTGTGGGCGGAAATGCCTTGTTGATACCAGAGGTCAGAGGAGAATGGCCAGACTGGTTCGAGCTGATAGAACGGCAACAGTGACTCAAATAACCACCCGTTACAACCAAGGTGGGCAGAAGAGCATCTCTGAACGCACAGTACGTCGAACTTTGAGGCAGATGGGCTACAGCAGCAGAAGACCACACCGGGTGCCACTCCTTTCAGCTAAGAACAGGAAACTGAGGCTACAATTTGCACAAGCTCATCGAAATTGGACAATAGAAGATTGGAAAAACGTTGCCTGGTCTGATGAGTCTCGATTTCTGCTGCGACATACGGATGGTAGGGTCAGAATTTGGTGTCTTCAACATGAAAGCATGGATCCATCCTGCCTTGTATCAACGGTTCAGGATGGTGGTGGTGGTGTCATGTGTGGGGAATATTTTCTTGGCACTCTTTGGGCCCCTTGGTACCAATTGAGCATCGTTGCAACGCCACAGCCTACCTGAGTATTGTTGCTGACCATGTCCATCCCTTTATGACCACAATGTACCCAACTTCTGATGGCTACTTTCAGCAGGATAATGCGCCATGTCATAAAGCTGGAATCATCTCAGACTGGTTTCTTGAACATGACAATGAGTTCACTGTACTCAAATGGCCTCCACAGTCACCAGATCTCAATCCAATAGAGCATCTTTGGGATGTGGTGGAACGGGAGATTCGCATCATGGATGCGCAGCCGACAAATCTGCGGCAACTGTGTGATGCCATCATGTCAATATGGACCAAACTCCCTGAGGAATGCTTCCAGCACCTTGTTGAATCTATGCCACGAAGAATTGAGGCAGTTCTGAAGGCAAAAGGGGGTCCAACCCGTTACTAGCATGGGGTACCTAATAAAGTGGCTGGTGAGTGTATTTGCTTTATGTAAATTTGACTTCAAAAAAGATATATACGACTCAAAAACCTTTGGAAGACAAGTATAAGAAAGAACCTATAAAGAGAGAAAAATTCATCCCTGAGATAAGAACCAGTCTGTAGGTCCATCCATGGAGAAACTGCATCATTAAAATACATCTAAAAGATACTTAGATACTCTGCTGCAAGACACCATGAAGGCAGCCAGGTGCTGTAGCATCACAACATTAAAGGGGAAACTTACCCTTCCTCAAGTCATCTCCACTCTTCTATGGCCAACAGAAGATTGCATAAGAGCAGTTAAAATCCTCACTCTGATCCAGATGAGAATAATGAGCTGAGGGAACCACAGTTTCCTTTTTACCTTACATTAGAATTATGAGGGATTTTAAAAATAAATGGACAATATGCAAATCTATTATACGTGTTCCCTCCCTTTGTTGTAGCCTGCTCTCCATGCCTGGTGTTCCTTCTGCTTCCCTCTGGATTTAGTTTATCAATATCAAAATAAATATTATTGTTCACCAATTTGTCTCCAGCAGTGTTTGCATTTGGTACAGTGCTCTGCAATTGCTGACATAGACTTAGTCCTTGAGATACAGAATGTCTCATATCAACATATGTGTAAGTATAGGTAGAAGAAATCAAAGTATCAACAGGAAGAAAAAGGGATTGATCTGATATATATAAAATGATTAATATGAGAATTATTTTATACACAAAATCATCTAATGTAAACAATTATAATTGGTTATTTTAGACAACTATAGCCGTTGGTGCTGCATTGCTGTTTGTGAATGGGTTGAATAGTTTCCACCGTGAGAATACCACCTGAAATACGGCCTGAAGTCACAGTTTGGGACATGCTTCGACGTTGAACCATATGGATGATTTCTTTTTTTATTCTTCAATAATCCTACAATATGATCGCCTGGATTTTATTTCTCTTATTTAGACAATACATATTTTAGCAATAATTTAATGAATTCAGTGAGAAATCCTCACTGGTTCAAAGTTATTGCTCAACAATTTTTGTGGGTAACAATTAGAATCAAACATTCATACAAGTCTTTATTTGTTTAAAATGAACTTTAACAGGAGGTTTGTTGCTATAAATAAAAAGGAGCAAAAACAGATGAAGGTATTTTAGCTTTAAATTTATTTCTCTTCACTAATAATGGGGCAGCAGGTCTTTATAAGCATTTATCAACCATTTTACAGACATTTCTTTCCAGCTAAAAACATTCTGATGTGCCCAGATAGTTAAAGCAGAGTCACTTGCTGACTGTCCTTTCACTGCCCTCTGTGACAGAATGTATATGAAATAACAGTTATGATACTAACAATGAAAAAAATACAAATAATAACTTCCTGTTGGCGGTTTTATTAATTAGGACCCCAGTGGTGACATTCAGCAGGAAGTCAGAACATTAATGTGTGCTGAGGGAGAAGGATGGAGGAGTGCTGATGTTTACTGGGTCATCTGGACTTCCATAGCCTGTGCTGCCCACTCTGGAGCCGCCTGACGGATTTTTTCCAGCAAGTTGTTGACTTGAAAACACAGAGACTGGATCTGTTTGTCCCACGTAGGAAGGGGTTCACGGGCTGCAGGGGAAAAAAGAAACAAATCAGAAGATCCAGGCTAAGGCTCATCCTGAACCACATGCAAAGAATTTGAAAAAGGATGCTGCCCCCTATTGGACACAAAATCCATTAACAGTTTCACAGCAAAATGCTCCAATTTGCTCCATGCTGGACCCTTAAAGTAACTGTTGCAGAAGCAGCAGAATATGGAAACAAACCGACACTTTTATTGCCCCAGCCAACCTAATATACGCTTTACAAATAAAATAATCAACTTATTTCATCTGTGGTGGAGCAACAAACAATCTGAGGCTGTAATCTACACCTCTGCCCTCGAGATGAATCTGATAAAACTAAAGCGTAAAATATTACGCATGCATACTGCATGTATGGTTAATAGGAACCATGTATGGAGTAATTTTTGTGCCACCGTCCGGAGCACTTTTTTGTTCAGTATATATTTCCACATGTGTTAGGTCATAGTTTTGATGCCTTCAATGTGAATCTTTAACTGTCATAGATATGACAATAAAGAAAACGCTTTGAATGAGAAGGTGTGTCCCAACTTTTGGTCTGTAATGTGTGTGTGTATATATTATATATTAGGGATGGAACGATTTATGAAAACCGTCTGAACCGTTCGGTTCGCGTGTGTTTCGTTCGGTTCATGCGCTGCTCCTTTTTCTCATAGGCGAAGCGTTTACACTCCAGAGCAGAAGGTGGCGGTACTGCGACCAAAGCCAACCACCAGTAGTAAACAAGAAGAAGAAGAAGCGAAGCAGCTTAGCCGGGTGTAGCAGAAAAAAATCAGTTGTTGTGGAGAATTGTGTGGGTATGGCGAGTGGGAAAGAACAGGAGTTGGAAGACGCGCCAGCAGCACTTTATAGGTCTGCTGTATGGGAGCGCTTTGCATTTAGAGTGACCTACGATGACGGCGGAAAGAAAGTTGTGGATAAAAACAGTGTGCAAGCATTGTGCAACACGATTTGTTTATGCTAACAGCAACACGACCAACATGTCAGGCTAACAATCAACATATACTAGGGCTGGGCGATATAGAAAAAAAGCTTATCGATAAAAAAAATGCATATTGATCGATACCGATAATTATTGAACAGATTTGAAACCATATTTTATGTGCAGCTCTGCCTGGACTTTTTATAATGCTAAATGATTTAATTTTAATAAAGAACACAAACACAGACTTCCAATTAAATATTTATTTAACCAACTTTTTTAACCGTAACAGAATTGTTTTAAAGAAAAATAACTTAAGAGACCTGAGTTATGTTATTAAATAAAAATCTTCGGTCCGGAACTTCGTATTCGTGGATCCAGAGTGGCGAGCCGCTGTTTGAACCCAGGTTTTTTAACAACAGACAACAGCAGCGTATCCTTTGCTATGAAGCATGTTACAGCATGAGTAATGTCCTTGTGCCACTTGGACGCTTTGTTGTATTTATCACAAACTAGGAAGCCCAATTTAGCCTGCGACGCCTGCTTTGATTTAGCAGAAATTCCTGAATATTCCTCGGAGGATTATGCAGATGCGCGCCGTGGCCTACACAGCTCGTACTCCTGCGGGTGTTAGCGGCTGAGATGATAAAACAAGTTGGTTGTGTTATCAGACTTCGTTTTCACTGGTTCCCTACACATTTTACAGATGACTGTGGTTTGTTTTTTGTCCGACTTGCCATGACCGAAATACTGCCAAACTGCCGAACTACAAAAACCTCTCTTTGGAACAATTTCCTCCGCCTCTCCTTGCTGCGACATCTTCATGTGCTCTGTGTTGTGGTTTGAGAAGGTGGCGCCTGGTGACGGCGTGCCTGGGTCCGTGATTGCGATTGGTTGGGAGGAAGTAGTGACTAGCATAAACCTACATGCTAGGCTACAATGAGAAGGAAGGAAAACTGCGTTTTTTTATCGAACTTTTATCGACTCTCTTTTTTTCTATTGCGCCACACGTCTATCGATCGATATATATCGTTATTGAATTATCGCCCAGCCCTAACATATACCGAACCGAAAACCTTGACAACGAAACCGTGAACCGAACCGAACCGTGGATTTAGTGAATCGTTTCACCCCTATAATAAATATATATATATATATATGTTTATTAGGGCTGCAACAACAAATCGATAAAAATCGACTTTTAAAAGCGTTGGCAACGAATTTCATCATTGATTAGTTGTGTCGCGCGATTAATGCGTCATCCGCCGCCGTCGTCATTGCCGTGGGGCGCCTCCCCCATCCCAACTCCGCTCCTGCAGGAGTCCCTCTCAGCGCTGCAGTCAGAGGATGTTTACCCTCAGCGTCCAGACTGCAAATGAAGCGCGCATGCGCCGGGACTGAAGGCGCAAATTGATCACAATAATTAAAATAGCCTGCGCTTTGTAAAGCGAAAAAAGTCGTAACATGCAACTTTTGTCAAAACAAATTAACATGGCACGGAAGCACCACTGTTATGATGCAGCACCTGAAAAGAAAACACGTTGGAGCCTTCGATGGCAGTGAAGAGAGCTGATCAGCAGGATGTTTGTTTGGTTTTAAAGTGGGGAAACGTAACGTTAGTTTCTCAGGTAGCTCATCTGATGCTTTCCTTACCCTGTTAGTAGGTTACAGACAGTGATAAGGTTGGCTACTTATTTTACTTTTAATTTCATTTGAATTAGCTTAAGCAGCGTTTATATTTTCTTTATAAATAAATTAATTTGCAAATTATGAGGGCAAGGCTTTTAAAGTTTAAATCTTCTGGCAAAGATAAAGAAAAGAAGATCCTGCAATTTATGGAAGTAAAGCAGAATAAAATCCAGCAAGATCAGTAATATGTCTATTAATTATCTGCCACATTTCCATGTAAATATCTGTCTTTGGAGGATGTGTTTTTTACCACCCCTAGTTCTCTCATTTTTATTCCAAATACAATTTATAATTTGAATCACAGGGCTATTTTTATCTCTATGGTTCAGTATTTTCTCAAGTAGCAACTTTAACTGCTATACTTTCCTGTCTTAAAAAGCAGAACTCTTCTAGTCTAAAAAAAAACCTCATTTGATGAAATGGGGGGACCTATTGTTTGAACCCCTTAGGGGCTTTTAAAAACATAAATGTCTTTTTTGCGCTTTATGAAACAAAGTAGCCTATATTTTGTGGATGTACAGCTACATTTCTCATGTAAGTTTGCGTAGCTTTAACACAAACATTTATTTTTCATATTGCACCAGTACAGTTAATGAGCAACCTGTACTTGTGTGCTTGTTTGTTCTGTCTAAAATGTTTATTTTGGAATAAAGAGGTTAGTATAAAAAATATTTTTTATCCGATTCATCGATTAATCGGAAAAATAATCGGCTGATTCATCGATTTTTAAAATAATCGTTAGTTGCAGCCCTTATACATACATACATATATATATATATATATATATATATATATATATATATATATATATATATATATATATAAATAAAAGGTCACTATTCTATTTTATATAAATATATAAAATAGAATAGTGACCTTTGTCGGGTATTAATGGCGTTCAGGTCGGATGAATGCGACTGAAATTAATGGCTGTTCACACACAGGTTGCATTTGAAAATATAAGATTCGTGTCGGATTCAGCATCATATAGCCAAGCATCCTGGGTCAGAGTGGAAAAAAAATTCTGATCTGTGTTGTTCAGACTGCCATGAAAAATCAGTTCCAGGACACATATGGCCCAAAAAAAAAATCAGATTTGGGTCACTTTAGGCTGCAGTGATAATGTAGCCTAAGAGAGAACACATTAAACTGGAGCAATAAGATAGAAATTTCATGTAAAATTACCCAAAGATTCTAAAAAACGCCATTCAGTTTAGTAATTAAGCAAACATCTTCTGTTCAGGACAGAAATGTTTCAGATTTTTTTTCCTCTGTAAATATTCTCCATCTAGAAATGAATTTGGTTTAAAATTACATACAAAAAAGTATCTTGCATTAAGAGCCATCTGTTAACCGATTACTAGTCAATTGGCAAAACAGCCTTTAGTTTTACGGAAGACCATCTTTGGCAAAATAAATACAGATATAAATAAATAAATAAATAAATATGCATATGATTAAATGGGCAAATAAAGCAATGATTTAATTCTTATGACAATTTTATATATAAATGCATATTTTAATTTGCTTCTTTATTCAATAAAATTTTCACCATTATGTTTTTATCATTAGATTTTTTTTTTTATGTATTCATTTCTGTGCACAACGGATTTTCTTTTTTTGCCCTTTTTTTTAGTTGTTCTATTTCTTTTCTTTGAGTCAATATTAGCCCTTCATGCAAGAGGGAAAAAAAATCAACCATTAGTTGATTGATAAGATCTACCAACTTTAGATCAATACACATGGTGCATCCTGGTACTTTATGTTCCCCAGTTCAGCAAAAGGCCGCACAGAAACAAGCTGCAATAAACTGAGGGATCAGATCTCTATCTGTCAGGACTAGCAAAAACAGATCTGTAGCTATTTTGTTAGATCAAATCAAACAGGCCATCCTTCATGACCCAAATGCAGCACTGAGCCTGTTTCCTGTTTAACTGAAACATCCCATAAGAACCACAACACTCAGAACAATGTGACCCAGTGGTTTAGTTTTAACTTGAGACTCACTTTCAAAGTGAACGATCCCGTCGATCTGATCAATGAAGCCGTTCATGCGTCCTTCTGTAATCATCTGAGATGCAATCTTTTCAGCCTAAACACAGAAACAGAATCCTCATTGATGGTAATAGAGACAATCTATGGGCCGGCATTTAAAGCCCGGTTTAAATATCAGAGTAAGAACTATTCACCTTAGCTGGGGGGATTTCCAACAAGGCACCCAACTCTTCAAAGGTGATGTTGTTGTAGAGTTTGCTGGCCGACAGGAGGTTGTGTTCAATCACAGCTCGGTCCAGGATGCTGGAGCCTGAAACAACAGGGAAAACATTCTAGAGCAGAGATCGAAAGTTTGTCTTTACCAACTGGTGATTTATGAATAAAACGACTAAGTTTTCTTCCAATTACAAATTTCAAATGCTTCTGAAGTCAGTAGAAATGGAAACAAATATCAGCTCAGATGTATCCTTTGGACCTCTAAAAACATTATAATTTAAGTTATAATTTAGATAAAACAAGCCAATTCAAAATATCCTCGGATTTAATTTAAATACGGACCAAACTTCAACTGCATGTGTTAAAAGCTGATTTTCTCTAATCTACGTATTTATCCGTTAGCTATGTATTAAAAATGGTGTCACCTGCTTTAATCTTTTTTTTTTGTTGCTTTTTTAAACATCAACACAAAGATTTCTGCTGGATTTCAGTTCTATTTCCTAAAAATGAATTCATAAATGAAAGGAAGCAATTTGCAACAATTTCAGAGGACTATTGGGACCACATCTGTAAGATACCATGGACAACAAAAAGATCAAAGGTTTGGTGTGAATTTTGTTGGAAAATCATAAGATTCCCCCCCCCCCCCCCCCCCCCCCCCCAAAAAACTCCTGAGCAAAAAAGATATTGGGGAAATGATGACACCTGATGGACATGTGGCAAGAATGGCGGCAATCACTTCCGTATTTCCTGGAGCTGTCAAACCATCCAGCAATATTTGTCTCAGAATTCATGAACATTTACAGAAAATGTTCACATTTAATTTTCCTTTAACCTTTGAATTAATATTTCTGTGTAACATACCGGTAGACAAACTGAACTGAAATGATAAGAAACTTCTGTACATTTTGCTGACAGGGAGCAAAAAGACCCTGTGTGTGTATTTTTCTTTTAAGAAAAAAAAAAAAAAAAAGAGTGTAAAAATGACAATGAAATTGATACAATTATATAAATGTAATGTGCTTTCACAAAAAATTAAAATATTAATATATATAAAAAGGAAGAAATTGGCTATTTAGCCCTATCAGGGCTTTCAGCATAAGGCAAGTTGAATTCAGGACTTTTTAATACCACTTAAAGTAAAAATTTACAATATACACACAAAAAAAGCGACAAATTTACCCCAAATGTTTATTTTAACATAAACCATTACTTTCTGGCCCAGTAGATATGTTTCAAATTTTGAAAAACTCTCCATATAGGAAGAAAGCTAAAAAACAAACAACAGATATATTTGTAACAACTACTGAACTGAATTCGCTAACTTTGTTTTGTTCCCTACTCATTCCATCTACTTTCATTGCTGGCGTACAGCCAAAGATTTTCCTGAGATTTGGTTCTACTGGCGCTGTTGTTGATGTGAGAGATGCTGTAGAGGCGTTGCAGAGACAAGGGTGGAACAGAGCGGAGAAATGCCTGCTGCTTCACCATAACTCCACTGCCTTGATTCCCATCATGCTTCATCTACATTCCCTGCCAGTGGTTTTAGCCATGCAGAAATTTATTGGATGGATAGCCTATTTTTCGTTGAATTTAAAACTTCCCCATGTTGTCCAGATAAAAAGTTACGGGGACTTCATCCAAAGGTCCGGCCGCAACATCTTTTTTTATTGGTTCCGCTATCGGTTAACGCTAACGGTTACAGCGATCAGTTTCGGTAAATGTAAGAAAAATATTGTCAGTTATTTCATTGTTTGATATGGATTACAAAAAAAAAATCTTATGATGTGGTAACAATTTTGAAACCTATAGAGACTGATTTAAGACATTTTAATACCAATTAAGGCCTCGATTTTATATTGAATTCAATGTCTTTTAAGACTTTTTAAGGATCTGCGGGAACCCTGCCTTTGTACAACAACCTTTGAGCCTCCCTTGTGGTCTGTTAGCTCACTGTAATCACAAATACATTTTTGTAAATCAGTTTACTTAAACAAGTTTAAGCGTCCCCCCGCATTCTATAAAGTGACAGAGTACTTCGGTGTTTACGGAGGGTCAGGCGAAGACGGCAACCTTTCATGGATGTTTATAGTTGTTGTTCTTCTTCTATTTTGTTTTGCAAGCAACTTCTGGAGGCGCATTACCGCCAACTACTGGAATGGAGTGTGAATCGGGATGTGCAGCCAGATGGAGATGACGCGTTCTCCTCATGCGCTCTTGTTATCTGAGAACCTAGCCAGGGAAAAACCGAGCCGAGCCCACCTCTGGAACTGGTCTGCAGTTAGGGCGGTCCGGTTGTGTCTAGCTCGGTTCAGTTCAGTTTGCTTTCCATTTACACACGATAAGTTATCTCAGTTACTGAGCTCGGACCGGTCTTGGCACGGTTTTTCAAGGGTAGTGTAAATGGGGTATATGACCCATTACAGCTGGGATAAATGAATGAGAAAAATTCCTTTGAGTTTCTTAAATCTTTCAGTTCATGGTAACTAAAACAACTGCAACCAACTGCAGCTTCCGGTTACCGTTCTTACCATCTGCTGTCGTGGCTTTCTGATGGGGCATCAGCATCGCAGCAAACTCCTGTAGCTGGTTTCCTCTGATGATGCGGTCCAGATACATCTTCTCTAGAATCCCGTAGGCAGCCAGCTGCTGGCAGCGCTCATCTTTAAAGAGAGTGGCCAACATCCTGGAACGCTGCTGTCCTAAAACAAATCCAAAATGTAAGAAACAGTTAAGAAAAAAATAACAGATCATTTTTGAAGCTATGGGCCAAAGAAATGAATCATGTACCTGCAGAAGCCAGTATGGTGCAGTTCAGCGCGTGTTTCAACGCCTCCAGACGTTCACTTTCATGGACTATAGATTTGTATGACAGCTCGTTGTATCTCTGAGCAGCTTCAATGAACTTCCTCCTGAAATCAAGCACTCTGGCATAGCACACCTAAAAAGAACAACAGCTTTAATCGCAGAAACTTTGCCTATAGAAGAAAAATAGTCTCATTCAAATCAGACCTTGTTTAGACATTGAATTTATAACACTGAATTTTTAAACTGTGCAAATATCAATTTAAATGTCTGTGTCTTTAAATTCACCAGCAGAATTTCACCAGAAAATAAAAATTCTACTGCAGGATTTAACATGTATAAAACAGAAATCAGCTGCATAAATTCAGCAAAATAAATTCAAAAGCAAAATCACCTCCAAAATCTAAGGAGTATCATAATTTAATTGGCTAAAATACACTTGACTTGATCTAGTATCAACTGCTTCAGGTTGAAACATCAAAAGCTCGACACATTACTGCATTTGAATGTTTGTAACTGAATTTATGCACACGATTCTTAAATGTGTAGATTTTTGCAGAAAAATTTCCTACAGGTGAAATATTTGCTGGCGAAGCTAAAAAAAAATCAAACTTCATTGTTATGAATTAAAACAATTCTAAAAAAGGGTCTAATAAGTTTATTTTTCTTTTCACTAGCAAAGTCTCGAAGAAATTTCCTTTCAGAGTGAAATTCCGATTTGAAATCAGTAAGAGATCATGAACCTTATAGTGGATCTGCAGCTGTTCATTGGAGGACTCGTTCTGAAGCAGCGAGGCTCTGTTGATGTAGGCCTCTGCTTGTACGGGGTCATCGTCTTCCAAGTAGAGTCGGGCAATTTTTAGGTATGTGTCCAGCTTATAGTCAACATTATATTGCCTAGTAGGGAGAAGCAAAGAAGTGTCCAAATTGTGTTTTTTTTCTTCTCAAGCCCCTGTCGCACCTGATCGATTTAGCCAGTGTAGGCCTGACATCCCAGAATCTCCTAAAACGCTGGCATACACTGAACTTTCTATGAATTTTTTCTATTTTTGGCGTATACATAGAGTATTTATAACGAGTCCAGAACTTATATCCAATGACAGCCTAACTTATGAATAACGCACGGCAGCGTAATGCCCATGAAAGGCAGTGTCTTAAGAGGGGGCAGCGATGTGGCCGGAGGCGTCTGGCCTGCTTAAAAAGATGGGTTTGATCGCAGTGTTAGCCTAGCTGCTGCTTACCGCCTGCCCGTGTTTGAGCATGCTTATAACTTATACAAAACATACCCATAACTTATCCAACGTATGCCAGCGTTGTTGTCAGTTTAATCGTACGTCAGGCATATGCTGGCTGAATCGTCAAGGTGTCACATGGGCTTGAGGTCTGAACAGTAATCTGCAAACAGGCTACTTACTTCTGCCCCGTTTCTAAAGGAATTCCAACTAAAACTTGTGCAGCATTTCTCCAGTCTCCCTCCTTCTCATAAATGGTTGCTAAGTGCTGTCTGATGGAGGCTACCTGAAAACACAGAGACATTATTTAGCCTGACAGGAAACAAAGTTTAAAAAAAAAAACCCACATAAAATGTCTATTCAAGTTGTGGGGAAAACATGAAGAAATCTACCTGTTCCTCAAAGGAGATTACCCTGGGCTGGATCTTCTCCAAAGTGAAGTGATACACTGCTTTAGCAGTGGCGTCTGGCAGGTTGGGCAGGTGAGTGCAGAAATCTGTCAGCAGCTGTCTCGAGATGACAAGACTGACATTCTCATTGACCACTGCAGGGGGAGTAAAGTTTAAAAGTCACTCATAGAAACCCACTTACAGATCAAGCTGGCAGCATGAAAGTAAAGTCTGAGCTGCATACTTGCTTCAACAAAGGCCTTCAAGGACTCCAGCTGTTCTGCACCCGCCAGCTGAATGGCTTTCTCCAAAATCTGCCGATATCTACAGAGACATTTCATTAGTTACCCAAACTACATTTGTTCAGAGTGTAGAAAGAGGTTTGTAGAATTAAACATAAACTTTAATATTAGGAGAACATTTAGAGATGACTCCACCAAGACTGATCCACTTTTGAATCGATATAATGTATAGGAAATGTTGGCAAAATACTATAAAAGCAGTGAAAAGCAATGCAGCTCAGCAAGAAAATAGACGATTTACATGTCAGTCTTCTTAAGAAACAGAAAGGTTGATAAGGGTCTGTTAGGACAGAATTTGGTTAGACGTTTTAAAAGGCGTTAATTCCGCAAAGAGATTTGGTCAAAGTAAGTACATCTACTTATTTAGTTTTGCAAAATGCAACTTTTTCCTAATCCAACCCTTAAAGTAGAAAAATAACCCCAATATATTCAATTAACTATACATTCAACAAATGTACAGCATGTTCACATCTAGTTATGTTACAGACTTTTTCTAAATGGCATTAAATAACTCTCAAAACTATACACAGAATATTATAACAATAAAAATTAAATAGTTTTGGACTCAGTTAAATATCTGCTTCTTTAGGATCCAGACAGAAGCAATTGAAAACAAAGTCCAATAAGACACCTGATCAAAATTGCCCTTTATTTAAAAATTATAGACACACTAAGAAGATAATCAATCAAATCAAATCTTTCTCCCTGCCATATTAAACATCGCAGTGTACCATAGTGTAACTACTGTTTTAGCTGGAAGCTAAAAAGCATCGTTAGCTTCTACGGAGGTTGGCAAGCATTGATTGCAAAATATAATAAATAAACAATCTCTCCACTATGGACTTGTTTTAGAGAAGACAAAATGCATTTCAATAAGACTAAATGACCAGACTAAATGTAAGTCTAAGCTAACAAACTGGATATGAAAGAGAGGGAATGAAGTTAGCATAGCTAGGTCAATCGTAGCTAAATAGCTTTGTTAGCTAACAGCGACGTGTTTCCGCCTTAAGCTGTTTTTTAATCATCAGTTAATGTTTGTCCCGTTTGAGAGCTACATACTTAGCAGCGAGGTCCTTGTGAGATCCACTTGAATTCATCAGCTGTGCAAGCTCCTGTCTCACTTCGGCGGCCATTGTCGCTAAGTGTGTTGCTAAAATGTCAACAACACCGGTATGCTAGCCTTTCTGCGCGTGTGCAGCTAGGGCGGCGCGCGCACGTATCCCCACCTGCCACTCACATGAGCGCGCACGTTAAACAGATCAACGTCTGATATTAGCATTAATACATTTAGTCTGTTATCACATCAAAACAGCTGTAATAAGGGGTTTTAAAAGAACCAACTAAGCGTTTTAACAGTGATTAATATCTATCTATCTATCTATCTATCTCTTCAATTAAATTCAGTTTTTTTCTGTAGCGCCGATTCACATGTAATCTCAAGGCACTTTACAATTCAACCAGATTATTCAGTCAAACTGATTTAAAGTTTTCTATCTAGGGAAAACCAACTGATTGCATCGACTCACTGATCTGAAGGCGATCCCTCATACCAAGCATCCAGCTCCCATGTCAGAGGATGAAAGAGAGCACTTTGACTTGGTTACAGTCAGAGAAACAGGACTACACTGAAAAAGAGTCCAAGCTCCAACATCTATAAACAAAGGTGTTTATGGCAGCAGCACAGCTGATATTTCTTTCCAAGATGGAGTCACAGCACAACAAGAACACACCAGATGAAGCTACTATGAGAAAAAGCAGAGGGAGCATAAAACTAATAAATTCTGCAGAATTGGAGAACAGAGATTAAATGAAGAAAATTTATGAAAAAGAGGTCACTATATCTTCCAGCAGCCTAAGCCTATAGCAGCATAACTATCTATCCATCAGGATTGACAGGATTGTCAAAAATATTGAGACTTCAAAAAGTATCAATAGGCAGACTTTAATGCTTCCTGCAAATTGCCATGGTTTCAATACTGAAGACAAGTTTGGTTCACATACTGGTGCTAATGCTGAATCAATATTTCTGAATTATTTACACATTGAAAGAATAATAGCTAAGAAAACCTTTAAAATGTTGTTGAATTGTGTTATTCATTTCACATTTCTTTGCAACCTTATTTGACAGTCATCCCTTTTATTCAGCAGTTTGGTCAGTGACAGCTGTTTTAAAATGCTCTCTAAATAAAGTTGGCTTTGCTAACTAGTGTCTGTGATTCTGTTGAGAAACCATCCATATTGAAGCTGAAAAGTGGAGTTTTTTTCATAAGGATAACTTTTTTTATGCCTTTAAATATTTGTTGCTGCTTTATGCGCAAAATGTTGAAATGGTATTGTGCATCGAATATTTTCCCAGGTTTCCATATCAAGTTAAAATCTTTAGTTGTGAAAACCTACGTATCAATTTAAACTGTATTTAAGAAAAGTAGCCTAATTGGAATCAGACATTTACAGTATTAGGTTTTGTATCAATAACACAGAATTTTTTTTTAATGCTGAATTTTAAGTTGTGCAATTATGTAGTTAAATGTTTTTGCATGAAATTCTTCAGCAACACTGAAGCCTGTAAAAATTATACTGCAGTAATTAGATAAATCAGCGGCATAAATTCAGCATCAAACAAAATCATCAGCTGACACTGACCTAAAAAAATCAAATATTAAAATTTAAATGCAAAACAATCACCTGCAAAAATTCAAATAAAAAAAAATTAACAACACAAATTTAACCTGCAAACCTTAAAATGCTAAAAATATGTTGGCATTTTGATGACTCAAACCAAAGCAATCAGCACTAGAGTGACACAAATGGCTTTTGGCCGATCAAAGTACACTCATTGGATTTTGTAGGGTTTTTTTTCTTTTGTTTTTTTTTTTTTGCGTTTGAATTGTTGTCTGTGAATTTCTGTTGTTGAATTGAATTTGGATGTATGCAAATATGTCAAAATCTGCAGTAGCATTTGTTCAGGTGTTTTTTTTTTGTAGGTGAATTTAAAGTAAAAAATTCAAATATATAATTTCAGAGGTTACAAATTAAGTGTTATGACTTCATGTCTAAGCAGTGCCTGGTTCAATGTCTAAACCAGGGTCTGGTTCAATATTAGACAAAATCCCTCTTTCATAAAACTGGGGCTAACTGGAACCAGAATAAATAGTTTCAGGACTTAAAGCAAAGCTAAATCAGATCAAGAGAATGTGAAAGTATTTTATTTACATAGACTGCTGGGACAGAGTGGAAGATCATTATAACTGTTTGGGAATCGTGTTATTGGTGTTTTATAGATTTCATTTGCGGCCAGTGCCAAAATGTATACTTTAGTTATATACAGAGATGGGAAGTAACAAAGTACAAATACTTCGTTACTGTACTCAAGTAGATTTTTCTGATATTTTTACTTTACTTTACTACTTATTTTTATGGTGACTTTTTACTTCTACTCCTTACATTTTTACACAAATATCTGTACTTTCTACTCTTTACATTTTAAAAAATTGGCTCGTTACTTTAGTTTTGAATCATTTCAATGGAGTTACCGTTATTATTTTTCACGTCATCAATACCAAATTCAATCTAATTGGATGGGAATCTACGTTGCATTTGACGCACCACTACAAGATGAATCGACAGATTCGGCGGTATTCATTGGCGGCAAATCATTGCAGCTTGGTGGCGGTGGCGTTAGCATAGTAGCATGGACGACGAGATGATTGAAAATGAACACAATGGAGATCTAGTCCTATTGGCAGACATCCATTTAAAATGTAGGCATGAAAAAAATGGTTTCTACTTTTACTTTTATACTTTAAGTAAATTTACAAGCCTGTACTTTGTTACTTTTACTTGAGTAAAGAAGTTTAATCAGTACTTCCACTTTTACCAGAGTATTTTTTAACACAAGTATCTGTACTTTTACTCAAGTACGGAAAGTGAGTACTTTTGCCATGTCTGGTTATATACAAGTAATACATACATATAAGTACGGAAGAGGATTACGGCCAATGAAAAAAAATAGTTAACTGATTATAAAATTCTATTACAGTTTAATATGGGAAAAAACTCAGAATTCTGAGATTAAAGTCAGAATTCTGAGAAAAAATGTCAGAACTGAAATGAAATTTAAAAATCAGTTAGGTTTCTTTTTTTCCAGTGGTCCTAATCCTCTGTCGTATATATCGCTAGTATTTGGTAGTAAAATATTTTTAGAGATATTATTGTATATAACCGTTTCAAAAATGCTGTACTGTACCTTTAAACAATGTGTCACCGTGACGTCGAACGTGGAGGGCGTGGCCGCTCTGTGAAATGTCAGGGAGGAATGGCGCTCGGCGCGGTATTTTGAACAATTGCCTTTTCCTTTCCTCGGTTTATTTGGAAACGCTGCCCAGCATTAAAATCTCGGGTAAGAATGGCTATGTATGAACCCCCTCTATGCATTAGCGCAGCCTATCCTGCCAAAAGCCGCAAACCAAAGGATATGAACAATGTTGGGGTATAATGTTGTGCTAGCTAGCTCGAGTTAGCCAGCTCAGCAACTTCGCTAGTACAGTCAGTTGGTCCTGCCCGCTGGGCTGGCTTGTGGCTGTATAAAGCTCCTGCTACTGATCAAGATGATAGCCAGTGAGAAGCCGACTTTTTCCCTGGAAATGATCAAATGCGGGATTACGATCGTTGTGTAGGTAGAACCAATTTAGGAACAAAATCAACACTTTTAAAAGTCGAGATACGCGGCTAGAATTCTGCCGAACCGTTTGTTTGACTAACTTTAAAGTAAACGGTTATTTGAGCCGGACGATGACAGGTTATTGTTGGATCAGTAAAACGATTTTTGTCCCATTAACTGATAGAAACTAGTCATAGCTGCGTAATTATATGTGATCAGTGCGGATCAGACACACAGTGGAGCCTTTTTACGCTAAAACCTATGGTCACAGCTGCTTGATCTGGCGGTGAACGATATAATGTCTGCTTTTAGATTGATTTCTCAGATGACAGAAGAAATTACTGAAGGCTAGCTTTGTTTACACTGCCAGTGCATAGAAATATTGTCCCGCTCCTTTGTGTACACTTCTAAAACAAGTCTGTTCTTAATCTCTGGGGGTTGCTTTGTTCTTTATTGTAAGCAGTCGACTCTACGAAAGTCTCAATCGAAAGGGAATAATATGAAATGGATAATGCTAGCCGGAGAGCTAACCGAGTTGATGACGAGGTAAAAATGGCGGATCTTTCGAAATCCAACCCCGGCCTGAAATAGTAACGCAACCAGCATTGAGCTCTACGCCTTTCCCCCCTTCACCCTCTCTGTACCCCAAACGGCATCACTTTTCTCGGATTGTTTTTTTTATCCCAGGCACATGCAGCCCGTGTTTCCTGGCTGTTTTCCGGGGACATGGAAAACAGAAACTCCAGAGTCTGTGTGGAGTAATACAGGAGGTTCATCTGGGAGGATTAATGTGCAGCAGGACAAAGATGCGCCGGAGATAAACGGCGCGGCCTAGCATCAGCTGTCAGCTTCTGTCAAAAGCAACAAAAGCCAAATGCAGCTCCAGCTCATCTCTGGATTGATTCGTTATTTTCTTCTTAGCAGCTAACGTAACAGGTCGATTCTTCTAAGCCGGTTTTTTGGTGGAAACCCACTGCTAGCTTTGGCATCGCTAGCTTTGTTTATGTGTTAAAGGCAGTCTGCATTTAACCAGTAGAATTAAATGATTTATTTAGAAATGTTAAACAGTCCCAGATACTATCATTAATACGTTGAAAGGTTATATATAAAAATCTTTTTACGTTTTCATCTCCACTGTTTGTATTAGTTGCCATGGCAAAGTGAGGGAATTATTTAGCAGGTAATTGAGAATGCCTGATAGAAAAAAAAAAACATATTGAATGAGCAATAGAAATTAGGCATTTCAGTTAAAGCCAAGCAAGTTGGGATAATAATTTAAAACCTATCGAGTTACAAGAGCATAGAAATTAAAATAAGATTTTTTATAATGAAAATTTTCTTTATAACTATGTGCAGTCTTGATCTAAATGCTCTCACATTTTTAAGTGGTAGGTTGGAGACCCCCTGTAACTTCTAGGTGTTCCTGTTAAAATGCAAAGTATTATTTCATACAGTGTTGTTTGCCTTTGTAGCTAAAAAAATGGTGAAAAATTCACAAATTAATTTTTATGTATATATTTATATTTTGCTGAGGTCTCTTACTTCTGCTACTGTTTACAGAATGGGGCTAGGTTTACTTCAAATTTTTTTTTTCCTAAAATCTAAACAAATCCGACAGCTATTCTGGAGTGCATTGTAAATGTAGTTAATTCAAGTTTACTGATCATTTCTAACTGTGCACTTTAGGATCTAAAAAATAATACCACTGCTTTTCTAAGTTTCACTATCTACTCATTGAAATTATGGACTCTCAGGGCCTGTATAAAGTTTTTTTTTCCTACAGTATATATGTAATAACAGGGTTTCTGCGGGTCATTAAAGTTAATTAAATTGTTATCTTTTAAATTAAGGCCTTTATTGGCATTAAAATTCATTAAATGTGTTTGTGGTGGCAATCAAAATGTTTATTTAAAAAAAATGTATTATAAACAATTTTGTCAGATATATTATATCACAATATATTTGCGTGGAACTGCTTCCAGTTGATCGCAAAGACGTATGTTCGGAAAAGAATGCCAATTTCAACAAAAGTGGTTGGAAATTGAGGAATTCAGGGAATGGCTGCAGCCTGTGGACGGGTACCTGTTGGTGGCATTAAACTAATTTCTAAGAGCATTAAAAGAGCATTAAAAAGCATTAAATTAGAGTTATTCATTCCTGTATAAACCCTGAATAAGAGACATCAGAAAGATTCTGATCTCATCAGGGGGGATTGGAGGTATTGAATAGGAGTGGCCCGAAAAGGGAGCCCTGTAAAACACTATAGATAGCTTTTATTTACTCAGGTTTTGTCAGAGGAAACTCAAAAGAAACAAAGAAAGGATTTATTGCCAAATATGATTTGAACAAATGTAGGACGATGACGACAGGTAGAGCCCTGTGCTCCATAGAAAAAGTAAAAAGTTCTCAATGCGTAGCTGATAGTAAGAAGGTCATTCACAGGTTCTGCTCAGTTTTCTGACCTAGCTAAAACCTTCACTGGACTGCATCTTAGAGATTATTTGTCAAAATGAGGAACATTACTGCCAAATTAGTCAAAATGAATCAGTAAATATACTTTTTATTAGTTTCTGACAAAATGCAGGGTTAGCTTAGGCTTCCCCTTTGCTAATCTAACTTGTTGTTTTTTTATTAGGTATCACTTTTAATACTTTGTTTTTAAAAATGGATAAAGGTTTGTCTAAAGAAAATTGACCCGCATGTTTCAAGTACAAACCAATGTAAAATACTTTCTTTTTTTTTTATTTAACATTGCAGTTATATCCACCAAGATATAGTATTCTGTCATGGACTTCATGTCATTAATATTTTCCATCATCTCTCCCTTTAATCTGTATTTTATTTATTCTTTTATTGTAGGTTTGATGTTTTTTTAACCCCCCCTTTAACTGCAATTCTGTTTAAGAAACATCTTATTGTTTGAGGTCTCTAACTAGATTGTTGTATTGCTTCTTTTTAAAGGGGTAACTGAGAGCTAAGACGCAATAAGCATGGATGTGGTGTCGCCAGAGCTCAACAGCCTCCTTCCTGATGAAATCATGGATACCGAGGCCATAGAGGAAATCCCTCACTCCCAGTCTGATGGCAGTGCCAGCCAGTCAGAGCCCACATCTGACTTGTCTGTCCCAATGGAAACCGATGCTCCTGTGTCATCAGAAAGTTTAAGCATCTGTTCAAATGCCACCTCACTGGAGCACATTCAGACTGCGGCCACTCCTGCAGCTGCAGATTCCACCGTCCTCCCTGGAAGTCAGCCTTCCATCACAATTTCCACTTCATCGACCTTATTTACCATCAAACCAGCCATGGCTACTTCTACAGCTAAGACCAAAACTACAGAAAGCGTCACTGGGACTACAATTTCCACGACTGGCATGCAGAAGCTCACAGCTCCGTTTGCCATTTCTGCAGCCAACCACCAGATCATTCTTAATAAGTTAGCTTCTTCTCAGGCCTCGGAAGCAGCGAAAGCTGCAGGTACTCCATCCCAAGTCATCAAACAAGATGGCCAAAAACTTTTGGTTACAGCAATTGGGAAAACAGGGCAGCCAATTGTGCTCCAATTACCCCACACAGGCAGCAAATCTGGGGTTTCACAGACTTCAGGAGACACAAAGTCTCCAACACCGCAGTTTAAAGTGGTGACTATAGGTGGGAGAGAACTGAAACCAGTGGTAGGGAGCACTGGAAACCAGGTGACCACATTACAGGCCCAGCAGCTGAAGACTGTGCAGGTAAAGATGTATATTTTTCTACAAATGCAAACACAGACATAGACAGAGACTAAATATTTATTTTTAGGATTTAATGTTGTCTTAAGTTAGCTAATTGTCAAGCCTGCCAGGTTGGAAATTACTAATTAAATCTGTTTTTTTTAATCAGCTAGTGAATCATCAGGGACTATGAGTTGTTTTGACAGAAAAAAAAAACTTGTAGGTATTAAAGTTCCAGTGATTAAATGAAACTTTAAGTTAGCTCGAAAGAAAAATAAAACAGAATTTTTAATCTGTGTTCTTGGATTCGATTTTTTTTTTTACTTTAAATTTCAGCAGCAAAAATTTCACAAAAAAAATTCTCCTGCAGAATTTCAAAGTAGAAAAAATGTACTGCAGAAATTCAAATGCAAAAATAAATAAGATCAAATAATCGCATGCAAAATTACATTTATTGTAACTTGATTAACTAAAAGCTACTTGTATCGATCTGATGCTTCAATATATTTAAAAAAAAATTTTATTTTATTTATCCAGCTAATTTTTTAATATGCAAATTTCTGCAGAAAAGTTTCTTACAGGTAAGATTTATGTTTGTGAATTTAAAGTAAGAAAGACTTCTAATACATAAGTGCACAGGTAAAAACTAAAGTGTTATGAATTTAATGTCTAAAAAAGTCTGATTCTGATGAGACTATTTCTTCCATATAGCTCTATTAAGTATAACTAGTATATTATTATACGAATTATATCTTTTTAGTATAACTTAGATATAAGAAAAAAAGTAAAATAAAGATGTAAGATGGCATTTTCGATGTATAAAATATATATGTTTATTCATATTAACAAATAATACCTTCTCTTGTTGATTTTTACATCAATTTATATGACATTCTTTAGCTTTGCCACAAATTATACCTTGACATTTAAAAAACATTTTTTCAATTCTTTTCCTTTTTCTATTACTGACTGTTCCCTTTTTGACATAAAAAAAATAAAACTACCAAATTTCACAAGTCTTCTTGCTATGGTTTTCCAATCCTTACTCAGAAGCTAGTAATCACACATTATGGAATAAAGCTGTTCAAAGTTATTACAGATCCAAAAGTTGGAAGCTAGGTTTAGCATAGCTTTAATTAATTATAGTAGGAACCACCTCCTTTAAAGTGCGACTCACCCCAAAGTCAAAATTTCTGCAGATATGCTGCCTAAGACTTTTTATAAACTTTCCACATGACAAAAGCATTGCAGCCTATCAAATGCTGCCAAGGACTCTTCACAGCTGTTTCTGCGCTCTCACTGATGATTTGAAGGACTTTCTCCTCTAATTACCTCCACCAAGGAGGTCCTGTTTTAGGAGAGTTGTTGTCTGTGTAAAGGATAACTTCAAAAGTTATGGACATATTTTAATGAATTCTTTTTTACCAGAGGTGTCCCTGGTGCCAAGGAACAATCCATTAAAGTCTAGCAATTATCCAGATGAGAGGGTGAGAGAAAATCAATTTCCATTTTCATGACCAAGGAGGTTATGGAAAATGGGCTATCTCTGCACCACTCTGGTAGATAGCGCCATGGTGGAACCTTTTTGCTATGCGGCGCAGCGCCATACCTGTAGATGAGGCAGTCACAGTAGAAGACTGACTCACTCAAACCCCAAAAAACACTTATACCAAAATTACTGATCGATCAATACCTTCTGATGAATATATACAGAATATATATAGCTTGGTGAAATATCGCAATATATAGTTATAATCCAATATCGTGGTAATATCATATCATGACCCAAGTATCATGATACTTATCACAACATACATGCCAATACTCACCTCTACATCCAGATCATAATCTGGATACAGGAATTTTTTAAAAGATTCTCTAACATTGTGAGATCGGGATATTTGGCGGAACAAGCAGTTCCCCACTAAACCAGAGGATGGCAGCAGAGACCACTGACAGCCTCACTATCAGACTCAAAAAAGGCTGCAGGTTTCTAATGAAGACAAAACAAGAAAAGGGAACGTTAGCAGGATCAGTTAAACCCTTATGAAGGGATTTTATGGAAATGTTTTACCAAAGGTCAACCTCATGCCAACAGGAACAATTTATATTAATTTGGTAACGATCCAGATCATGTGTGGGTTTTAGCTTTAGACTTAGACTTCTTTATTTGTCATTTTGTATGCACAGAGTGCATACAGAACGAAATTGCGTTACATACAGCTTATGAACGTTGCATTTATATTTCAAATGGCACAAGTTATACAAAAAGTGCAGCAGTGGTCAAAGTGTGAACAGTGCAGAGGATAAGAGACAGTGTGCAAAATGCAGTGGTTCAGTGCAAATAGGCATTTGTGCAAAAAATGCGTTATTGAAAATAGAAATGAGATGAACAATTAAAGGGCTAAAAGTTAAACGTTCAGCAGCATTTGATGCCCGATAATGTGCAATAGGTGTAACTCACAATTTGGGGCAAAACATGCTGCTTGCCGGAGGTCTGTGCTCTCAGAAGGCTTTTCTAGTTTAATAAATTTCCAGTAATGTTACCCAAGTTTTACTCCTCTAAAAGTTTGCGTCTTGACTACTTGATTAGAAATCACATATTTAAGTGTCCAACTAGCTTTGCTGAAATTTAAAGAGGTTTAAAGTTAACTATGCTTTTGGAAATCTGACTGTAGGAGGTCTGCTTGCGCTGTGGGGAGATTTAATTTTGCTAACCATGCAAACTAAAATGTGTGCGCAGAGCTTTGTAATAAATCTTTAATCTGTAATCATGAAAGTCCCCCATTTTCATCTGAAATGTTGCTTTAGGCCCAGGTGTAAATTCTTTGGAATGGATCTTATTGAACCAGTACTCGAGGTGAGGGGGATGACATCCCCCTTCTTAAAAAAAAAAATAAAAATCCTAATCATCCCCAATATCATCCTCCCTGACATTTTATAATTGAATGTGTACATTTCGATTATATATTAACAGTAATGGCAATAATATTGCCCTTTTAACATTTGGCAGGCTGTGCGCTTACGAGTAGCCTGACCAAAATATGGTGGCCCAGATTGTGTGTGTGTTTACAATCATGCAAGTTTCTCCACATAATCATACCTGTTGAATTTCATAAGTCTGGGACAATAAATGTGAAAATAAGGAGGGGAATGAATCTTTGGCAGGTTCCAGGTTCTAAGTTTAACAAATAAAGCATCAGAAATAATCTAGAATGGTGTTGATTGCAAAATCGGGAATTGGCACCCAGTGAGCAGAGACTATTCATCACTGTCTGTAGCACATCGAATGAAATGTGTCTCCATGCAAGAAAAATCCTATCAATTCAAATCTATCTGTCCACCTAAACTATCAATTTTAAGGCATCCATGTGAAAAAAATATGAAAACATTAAGAATATGTTAAAAAATTCCCTTTTTGTTCATATTTCAATGCGTTTTCTCATCAGTGGGTGTGAGTTTAGGGCGATGTGCACTCCTGCGACAGCAGAGGTAATTCTCTGCACAACAGATGAAACCTGGAGGAGAGAATCGAAGCAGGGGCGGATTTAGGAAATTTGGGCAAAGACAGGCATGGGGCCCTCTGAATTGAGAAGACAACTCATAATACAGACCCATTATAGAGATACAGAAAGTTTAATAGAATAGACATACATTATTTACTAAATTTTGACTGTCCTTAATGATGATTTATATTTTATATTATGTCTAGGAAAAAATAACAATTCAAGATATCTTTAATCACATTTCGGAGAGTCAAACTGCCTTCTGAGATATCTCAAATGACGTCATCTGATCTGTCATTTAAAGTGTCACACATCCAGAATTATAATGAAGATATTCCAGTTAATTTGAACTACCTAGTCAAAACTATATTTTTTTTAATATCCCAATTCTGAAATATGCCCCCAGCGCTATCCCTGAGCTGCAATAGTGCTGGCTCTTCTAGACAAAGATTTAAATCCAAACCTAAAACCTTTAAATGCGGAGGTTACACTCAAATGTGTCAAAACTCTTGACGATATAACAGATTTATATTGTTCCTGTTTTTAGATCCCCAAGAAAACGCCGGCATCCTCAGCTGCTCCCATCAAGTTTATCATTACAAAGACGGTAAACAGCAAAGGTCTGAGTCCGCAGACGTCAGTAACTCCTGTTATCCCAGGTGAGGTTCTTTCTTTAGCTCCAAGTTGGTAGGGACCTAGTTTTTTGTTGCCTAATTGAACCTGTGCACTATGCTTCCAGGACACGTCATGACACAAACCCAGGCGATGTCGCCAAAAACAATTACTCTGTCTGAGTCCCACAACACTACGATACAGAGCTTTCCTGGCAAAAAGATCGCAATTTCGCCTCTCAAGAGCCCCAGCAAGGTGAGTAAAGCCAGGCATACACTGCGCGATTTTTATTTTTATTTTTTTCTTCCGTCGTTGCTCACAGCTACAACATCCACTGTACGACAAATCCCCAGGGTTACGTCGTAAAGTGTGAGTTCAAAGCTCACATTGTATGTTCTCACACTGTACGTCTAAAAACCCCGTTGGCCTCAGCTTGGCAGTGAGATGGCGCTACTCGGACTCATCTATCCGGAAGCCAAATGAGTAGAAGCTCACTATAGAGAAATGTGTTGCCTTTGCAATTTGTGCAATTTTGTGTGCTGAAAACCCTAAAAAGAAAAGGCGACAACGTATTTTGACAAAGACATGGCTGAGCAAACGTGGCTACTATGGTCTGTCAATTTTACAGAAAGAACTCCATTTCACACACACTAGGGGTGTAAATCACATCCATCATGGTGATTCGATTCAGTATCGATTTCCTGACCCAACGATTCGATTATTTTCGATATTCAAGAATACACCACGATTGGATTCGATTAAATGGTTCATTGTTTTTTTACACCTTACAGGCTAGACAATGTTTCAAATTTGAAATAAATCAATGAAAGCTGTAATATCGTTATGCATTTTTTTTGAGAAACAACAGCAAATAACAGAAGTAGCAAAGTTGTACCAGCAATACCAGCAGTATCAGCAATATGTGCCTAAATGTTATGCTTCCATCCCTCTTTAGTCAATTTAGTGGTTCTTGTGTCTGCTGTGAGCATCTACTGCCATGAGGCTGTCCAGCTGGCCAAATGTTTCCTTACTAGCACATCAAGGATGTCCATATTAGCGTAGCCAGACGCCACACTCAAATTTGTCACTGCTTCACTGAAACTCAGGCCAATTTTCTGTTTTTTGTTTTGTTTTATTGAGTGTAGCATCTGCATGAACAGTGTTTTTAAACACATTTATGTCCTTTATGTCCTTTTTTGCACATATACGTGAAAAAAAGGTGCTGTGAAGAAGTGAATGTAGCCCACCTAAGACTGTGTCATCGACTCAGATTCCCCCTGAGCTCTCGTTGGCAGGAGAACACATGGAGCCAGCTTTGAAAGCAAGGGGAAAGGGATCATGTTCAGAAAGGTTCCCAAACAGCTGATCTTTCAGTCCGAATTGGTTGATGATCAGAGCTGTTTTGTTTGTTTTTTTTTCCCCTAACCTAATGAAACTCAACATTGCTGTGCCGGTGCATAGCCGCCTTACCAAGGCTGCAGGTTGATCAGAGAAATGGTCAACCTTTGATAAAAGGGAGTCAAGCATGTAAAAAATGCATTATTTTCAGTCAAATAACTCCACTTTGTGTTCAGGTGTAAAAGCATTACTTCAATCATCCACAAAGGAAACGTACACACAGACTGAACCACGGAGGAAAACAGCGCCTCAACCAGTTGTTGCAGACATAACAGAGCCGCATGCAGTACAGTTTTCTCAGCATTCTGAGGAAAAAAGTCAGAATTCTGATTTTTTCGTATATTAAACTGAAATAAAATTCAAAAATCAGTAAAAAAAACATTTTCCCCAATGGATTCCATAGATTTCTTCTGAAATTTCGTATAACATTTGTTATCGTTGAGTCACTTTTATCAAATGTGGAGGAAAAAAAAGCAAGAGTGGCTTCAAGGATTGGGCCTGATTAAAATAAAATAAATCTGCATTACATATTAGGGATTAATAAGAGTGGTGTCAGAATAGGCCTTAAAAGAAAAACTACCCAAAAAATAGATAGAAAGCCACTAACTAACATCTTTAGAGATGTTTGTAAAGGAAAACTTGCAGATTTTCATGATTTTTACTCAATACTTTAGATTAAAGAGAAAATATGGAGTGTTTACATTAAGCATAGAGAGAAGAAAGAACATTACAGGATATAATCTGAAGAGGCATTAATAAAATCAATAAAAACCACTTCAAGATTTGATATATGGAGATATTAATTCATTAAAAACCTTGAGTTTTATTTTTTAGTACACCCAGAGTTAAGGAGCTCCAGACTAAATGAAAATGTGAAATTTGTTAAAAGTTGAAGGAAACGTGGTTAGATGTCCCTATCTCTGGGAATGACCTAATATCTCCCCCTACTGGACTGATGTGATAAGACTATTAAACTCCTCAGTGGGTTTCACTGTATTCTGCTTTGCCAATAATCCAAATGGATTGAATGAAAATAAAACAAGAAAAAAATGGACAGATACCTCTTAAAAATACCAAAGGCTGACAGCAAAAAGGCCAAAGAACATTTTTGGATTGGATAAACCTGATAAATGAACTTTATGCAGCAGAACCACTGACCTTTTTTCCTTCAGTGTTCATCTGATAAATACAAACATTTGGAAAATTAGAAGTATTTTCTTGATGATTAGTCACCTTACCTCAGCATGCTACGTATCCATAACTTCTACCAAAACCCAGTTCATTTCTTTTTCATTGCTTCATGGCTTTTTGTGGTGTTTGATTTCTTTGCGTCGGTCCTTGTTTATTTTGGGTTGTTTGATGTCAAATGGAAAATAATTATTAAAAATAAAGTATTAAAGGAAAAGAGTATTGGTCAATACCTAGATTAATAAAACCAAACTCAGTTTTCTGTGTTTGTCTGACTTCTGCTGTCAACTTAAGTAGACCTGGTGCCACAGCTACACTTAAAAGTGAAGAACTGCAGGCTTCACTGGCCTTAGTTAAAGGAATAGTACACCCAAGATCAAAAAAGTACTCCAGAGTGTTGTTCAGCATGGGGGTGAGTAGAAAATGAAGGCTAATCATGTTTTGGGTGTACTATTCCTTTAAGGTGGTGATCATGACTCCAGTATGATCAAACAGACGGGGCAGAAAAACTCGTCTCCGGTTTTCCCAGAAGACACTTTGACGGTCATTAAGGCTTTTTGTGAAATAGTCAGCGAACAAACAAGTAATGCAATATAAGATACAGTGGTGGTAATATTATGGTCTGGGGCTTTTTTGCATACCTTGGGATCAGGAGGATTTTTTCTTCGATGGATGGACAATAAATCCTGCAGGAGATTCTGCAGCCAACTTTGTTTCCTCAAACTAAAGCACTCTTGAAATTCTCCATCAAGCAAAAAGCTCCATCAAATCCACCTCTTAATGGCTGCAGACTAGCTTGGAGTGTTCCAACATTTTCTCAGAACATTTTAGATCACATTTAATAGATTGTGATTCCAGATATAATAAAAATAGACAATAACGTCATAGTTTTTTTCCTTCGTCTGTCTATTGAAGCTTCCCTCACACATGGCTCATCCTTCCATCTCCTGCAGGTGACGGTGGTGTCTGTGGCTTCCCCAACTTCAAACCCCAGTCAGAAATCCGTAGCTCTGCCGGTCAATGTAGCACTTAGCCAGCAAATCCTGGCAGTCCAGCAGTCGACGCCTGCTTCTCCAGTCAAGGTGGCCACCAGCCAATCAACAGCACAGGTGAGACCGGATGCAAAATACTAAGACATTTTATAGTTTTTACTCGTTAACAGTTTGAAATGTTGACTGAAACCTCTTTCCTGTCGTCGTCTGAATGGCGTCAGAGCATTAAACCTGTCCAGTCTGTCGGCGTGGGGGGCGGCTCCCAGTTCAAGACCATCATCCCTCTGGCCACCCAGCCGAACGTGCAGCAGATTCAGGTTCCAGGAAGCAGGTTTCATTACGTCCGCCTCGTCACTGCGACCACGGCCAGCAGCGGCGGCCAGCCCAGCACCGTTAACACCAGCTCCGTAGCGACAGGTGAACTGCCAACGCTTTCTTCTTCTTATGCTAAATCTGTCTAGTATTGATGGAGACACTCACCTGGAGTTTATTGTGCGTTTAATGTGCAGGTAAACCTTTGGTGGTAAACACAGGAACCGTGAGGATGTCTGTTCCTGTCGTCCAAGCACAGACGATGAAACAGGTAACTTAGACTCTGCGATTGCTGAGGGGTGGGTGTGGGAAATGTTCCTCTGACGATCCTCCTGCTTTCTGTTAGGTTGCACCCAAGCCTTTAACATCAGCACCACAGGTAGTCACAGCCACTCAGAACCAGCAGCGCCTCATTATGCCGGCCACTCCTCTCCCTCAGATCCAGCCGAACTTCAACCTGCCGCCAGGCACGGTCCTTGCATCGGCCACCGGCGGCAGCAATGTGGGTTACGCAGTCGTTCCAGCACAGTACGTCACCCAGGTTAGCCCTACTCTATCATTTTTTTCTTTTCATTTTCAGTGTATATAGAACATGCTGTGTGCTAATGAAGGAACATCCTGTCTTGCAGCTCCAGCAGTCGCAGTTTGTGACACTTGCCAGCAGCTCTGGTTTCCAGGCGTCCAGCAGCATCCAAACTCAGGCCAAACTCCCTTACAACGGGTGAGAGAAAACTCCTCACCCATCTGTTCGGTTTTATTGGTGTTTAGAGACACCATTTTATAAAAGTTTGAAAGTGGAATGTTTATAAAGGAGGATGTTTGCTAACTTAGCTTGTTTGGTTCCCTTATAAATGTGAGATGTTATTAATTTATCCGTAAACACTTTATTACTCTAATAGGTTTTTTTAACAGTGAGGAATAGAGAAAACTGCCAAAAAGTGAGCCAAATATAGCTGTCAATAAAAACATTTGTAGTGTCTGAATTTTTAAATGTAAGACAATAAGAAAAAATACATTTAACGTTTGTATTTTATTTCTTGTCAGCTCATAGATGCATGAGACATTAGATGTTTTAGTTGTGAGAATACAAATGTAGAGGTTAAGAATGAGAGGTAAAGATACAACTTTGTAGGAAAAACAAGTTTTTAAAAGGAAAACCCAAAGTTATAAGTAATAATTGCACTTTTATGCATATGAATCAGAACCTCATGAATGCAAATTTCAGCACAAAAACTGTATGCAAACATAACATGATTGTTTTGTGTTTCATTTTCTTCCCCTCTCTCTCATTCAATGCTGTTTGGCGAACAACCTTCAGACACATTACTGCCACCAGCTGGTAAGGAGTGTAACAGCATTGTCACAGATTGTGATTGTTAGTCGTTCTGTAACTTTATATTAACTTTGAAACTTTTATTCTAACATGAAACATCTCATGTCACATTTAGATACGAGATAAAAAAAAGTAAAATCTAGAATGAAGACGCGTGTATTAACTCACAGTCACAGATTTATCATGTTATCTTTATCAATACTAATCTGTTGAACTATATATTTCATTAAGACTAAAAAAAGTTACTACCAGAGCATGTGAACAGAGTGGAGCGCCGCGCAATTCCTCAGGAGGATGTTCGCTCATTTGCCCCGCCGTTCAAAGTTTGCGACGCTTCGCTCAAAATCAGCTCAGCGCTCACCCTAATTTTCCTTCCGCTCCGACGAAATCACTCCACACTCACTCAAATTTTCAGGAGACGGCATTTTCTGACATTTTTCCTTCATGTCATTTATGCCAGGGCCCTGGGACACACGGCGTTTGATTTAATGATGTCACAGATACATGTGTCTTATTTAACTGGCTGTTAAATTATCGCACTGTTTCCAGCTGTGAACGTAACACCTCGGTCCATTCATGTTACCCTGCATTTGCTATTTAATTATTAATTGTCAAAAAAAAAAACACACTTAAATCACATAAATGTTATTTTACAAATCTTATAATCCAACATTTTTAATTGATGTTTTTAGCACATCAGAGTGAACTGGAGCGGAGCGAAATCCTCGCTCTGGCCTTTGAATTGAAAACCGCTCTACGCTCAACACAATTTCTTCCTCTCTGCTCACCTGCTCTGGTTAATACCTTGTACAGGCAATAGGCATTAAAAAAAAATTTAACTTTAGTGTGCGTTATATGATGAGTGCATAATAAGCACTTATAAATGAGTTAAATTGTTTACAGATAATTAACATGTCTATAAACTATTATCAGCCTTCATAAGCTGAGCCTGATTGTAAAGTGGAGCCACTTTTCAGGTCGGGTATGCTTCACATGGGAAAGTAGCAGCAGAGGCGTCTGCATCTTTGCGTCATCTTTGGGTTCCACTGGAGGTAGCGGCGACCTGCAGCTTCTCTCACCAGGACCGTTTTCAGAGCCTCGCCTCGCTGTGCAGTTGGACTCTGATCACATTAGGATGCATCAGCGGATTACATTAGTGAACTTATAGGGTTTAGAGCAATAAACCAGGAAAGTGTTTATTTAAAGGGCTCTACCAGCGTTTTGTCCTTCATTCATGGTGAAGTCACTTCAAATATGTAGGTTTTTCAGTTACTCTTTCGATTTAATAGTCATATTTATTACAGCGTTCGATTACCTGTATGAACATCATTCATTATTTCATAAAGGTCCAGGAAATGCGATCCTGAAGCTGCACATGCAGTTTTTCAACTGGATCTACTTCGATCCGTTCTGCTGTAGATTTACCTTGATTTTGAGCAAAAACGGAAGGCTGTTTATTTTAGAGAAGCGGTCGCCGCTTCTGGGAAGCTTCAGAAACGTGTCGTGATGCTTTCAGCAGAACCACTCGGATTGACTAGTAATGCTGCAATCAGCAGAGGAGTCAGGCACATGTTTTCTCCCTGCTCTTTTCACACTTTTCCAGTTCTCACCAGGGCAATTCAGGTAACGACTCGTTACGCTGGAAGTTGAGAAAGTTGTGCTGATATTGGGGCCATTAGGCTCAATTTACCCTCAGAAACAGTTTCTTCACACCATCTTGTGCATCTCATGCTCTGTAATCAACCCAGACTCACTCTGCAGCCTTTGGAGGCCGGAGTAGACCCTCTCGCCTTGAAGGATATCCTAACTGCTGGTCTGTTAAGCTAAACCAGCTGGTGGTCAGCGTTGAACGCAGCATCCCCCACCGTCTCATGGCCACCATTAGCACAATGCTTCACTTGTTCACTCTGATGTTTTGCATATTTATGTAAAGTATGAGAGAATAGGAGGGGGTTCAATTAGAAAAAGGTAAGCAGATGGGTGGGGAAGAGGGGATAGAAATAAAGACTAATTTTAGGGGGTTACACCACAAAAATAATCCTGGGGAGAACCCAGAATTTGCATTTCATAGGAGAAGGCTTTCATTGGCTGAGCGCTGCACCACCCCCGCCCCCTACTGTTAGGGAAAACGTTGAACCCACATAAACAGGCACATATGTCTGCACCTTTCACAACAGTAGCTTTTGGTAGTGATGACCTGAGCTCCTCCAGCAGAACTTTCTCACATATTTTTACCAATGTGTTCAGAATCAACACAGATTAACGTCCCGTTAGGCTGAACTGCTCTGCTGACAAGAGTCCTGTTAGAAAACCAACCAACTGAAACTGATTTCTACCCGGCCCCCTTCCAGATGTGGAGCATACCTCCCCCAGACCTGAAAAGAACGTCCTGATATGCTGCTCCAGCTGGAATATTAAGAACAGATGCACTTATTTCATCCCTGTTTAATACGATCCTTTGCTTTGCAGTGTGTCAGCAACAGAGACGACCTCGAGACCCAGGAAACCGTGCAACTGCACCAAGTCCCAGTGCCTCAAACTGTAAGCAGCTGTTTGGAAGCATGGCGCTGGCTATTACATTGTGTTTCATTAATAAAAAGGTGTTCTGATGGGATTCAGTGTCAGAAACCCACAATCCTCCCTTCTGGGCTGTTCAGTGGTATATTTATATTGAAAAACGCAAGAAGTGTTTTTTTTTATTGGAAAATGAATTAAATAAGTGAAATTTCACACATTTGAAGGAATGATTGCAACCTTTATTAAGGCCTAATTTCAGCAGTCGCTTACCAGCAGAAAACATCTTTTAAGCTTCAATTTGTAAACTTTAGAAAAGATTAAAACATGGGAGTGGAAGTCTGACTGCGTTCGTCTCTCCTTAGGTACTGCGACTGCTTTGCAAACGGAGAGTTTTGTAATAACTGCAACTGCAACAACTGCTTCAACAACCTGGAGCATGAAATGGATCGACTTAAAGCCATCAAGGTGGGCTGCAGGTTCTGTTTCTGCAGGGATGTTTGGGTTTGGTCATTTCTGAAGGATAAAAAGTTTTTTTTTTTTTTTCTACAGACGTGTTTGGACAGAAATCCGGAGGCCTTTAAACCTAAAATCGGTAAAGGCAAAGAGGGCGAGTCGGACCGCCGGCACAGCAAAGGCTGCAACTGCAAGCGATCGGGCTGCCTGAAGAACTACTGCGAGTGCTACGAGGTGGGTTTTTACCTCCCATCTGGCTGTATGGGGAGAAATTTGATCCCAGAACATTGAAAGCAATGCACACATTTCAAAAATCGAACTTTGAAAAACAGATTTTCTTTTGTCAGATTCATTTTCTTGTGATTTTATTCTCTTTTTGTCAAATTCTGTTTTGCAGATTTCACTTTACATTTATTTTTTTATTGTCTTCTTCACAGTATAAATCTTACAAGTCACAGGTACATACTATGAACTTAGTGACATATAATATATATGCTTAAAAGGTGACCAAACTGTGAAACAATGCAAACTTAGACATAATCAGAGATTTAAAATTATGAACAATGAAAGAAAAAAAAATTGCTGAACATTTAGCATCTAACCAGGGTGTGTTATACATTTATTTAATAGTTTTCTTGCTTCACCAATTATCCACAGCAGTACCTCCACAGAATAACATTTAACTCCTTATTGCTCACATGCTTCATATCAAATCTAGTTTTTGTTTTAATATTGTCTCCAACTCTGCCAGATATTATACAATTTCTCAATCTCCAATCTTTTGATGCAGTTGTTTTCTCCATAACATAGATACTTCATATTAGATCAATCCATTCTTCCACTGTAGGTGCAAGAGTACTACGCCATCTTCTGGATATCGCTAATTTAGCAGCCAGTAGCAGTTTTCGCAAAATTTGTTCCTCTTTCCCTCTTTTTAAATTTAGTGTGTCAATATTCCCATGATACATAATTTCAAAACAAAGGAGACTTGTTAGATGTATCCCCTCATCAACCACTTTTTTATGTCAATCCAAAATGGCTTTATTACCGGGTAACCCCCGAATACATGAAAGTGATCCAATTTTTCCGGCACCGCAGGATCGCCAGCACTTCAATTTTCAGTATTTTCTTCCTTTTCCCATCTTGTTTTCACATATTCAGTGATTGCTGTCATAGCCTCCAGAATGTTCTACAATTTGGAAATAACTTTTAATTTCATCTTTGACTTAAAGCTTTTATTATAACTATTATGATGCTTGGCCATGTTGATTCTTGATTCCCTTTTCTAAATGTTTTTTTGTCCTAAATAATGCCGTAATTGCAGGTATCTATAAAAATCCCTGATTGATAAGGTTAAATGTCTCTTTTATCTCTTGAAAACTCATCAATGAGTATTTATTTAGAACCTGCCTATGCACCTTGTGTCCATTTTCCCACAATTTAAATCTGCTATCCAATTAATTAGGTGGGAATTCTGTAACATCTGCCATCCATCTCAGAAATCTACAGTGATCTGTGGGATTGTGTTTTCTTATAATTTTATTACAACTTTTAATAGATAAACCCACCCATTGATTGATATTTGGTGGAGTGGCAGCCTAGTGTTTAAGGCATAGGGCTTGGAATCCTGAGGTTGTGAGTTCGAAACCCGCTCCCACAGATCACCACTCTGGCTGTCTGAGCAAGACACTTAACCCCTGAATGCTCCGCTCGCGCCCCATGATGGCAGCCCACTGCTCCCCATAAGGATGGGTTAAATGCAGATTTCTCCAATATGAGTCTCTCAGTCATCCAGGTCATAGTCATTCCAAAAAAGAAAATTAAAAATGAAAACAATCCACTGGACTTTGTTTCCAATTTTGAAGATGTTTTCTTCCCATCCAGGAAGCTTTTTCAATTCAAAATGTCAGGAATAGCGTTCAGTTTGAGGTTTTATACAGCAGCTCAAAAAAACCTTTTTTTTGTTATGAACACATGCAAATTGAAACAGACAAAGGGGTCCACTCCTTTGGAATGGGGGTCGTTTGGCTTCTTTTTTTATCCTGCAATGCCCCATACCGGTCTAAGTGTCTGAAAGGGTTTTTTTTTTTAAAGGGAATTGTTTGCCTGGCTGAATAGGCGAGGTCCTCCACTCTCCTGTATAGGGGCTGCAGTGATAACGGGAAGGGATTAACTCTATTGCTGCTTTGTAGGTTTTAAAGCTGAAACCTGAGTCCACCTCCTCTGTTTAAGGTTGGTTTTTCTTTCTTAACATAGATGGCTTCCTTCACGCCTTTCTCAAACCACCTCCTTTCTTTGTCCAAAATGTGAAGATTCTGGTCCTCAAAAGATTGTCCTTTGTCCATAAGGTGTAGATGTACTACAGATTCTTGTCCAGAAGAGGTCGCTCTTCTGTGTTGGGCCGTGCGTCTGTGGAGAGGTTGTTTGGTTTCTCCAATAATGAAGATCAGAGCATTCCTCTCTGGATTGAACAGCATACATCACTCCGCTCATTTGGTTCGGGGGTTTAATCTTTAGGATGCACTAGTCTCTGATTAAGGGTGTTTGGTTTGATATGTACTGGGATTTTGTGTTTGGAGAAAATCCTCTTGAGTTTTTCAGAGACTCCAGCAACACATGGGATGGCGATTCCTTTGCGTTTAGTCTTCTCACCCTTATGTCCTGCTGCATGTCGTTTGGATTTCCTTGGTAATATGACAAAGGCCCAGTTTGGATATCCGCAGGTTTGAAGAGCATCTTTGATGTTTTTCTGTTTTTGTAGGGACATGCTCAGAGCGATGTTGTAAGGTTCTGATGACTGAAAGTTTGTGTTCCACACAAAGTCCAGTGAATTGTTTTTGATTTTCTTCTTTTGGAATTCATTAGCATTGGTAAGGAGGAGGATTTAGGATTAACCATGTAAATAAGGATGTCGTCTGCAAACATCTCAATTTTCTGTCTCCCGCCATCACCACCCCTTTGATATTATTATATCCATTGGCTTAGTGGCTCCAAAAAAGATGGCAAACAACAATGGCCTTACTGAACATCTCTGCCGACAACCCCTTTCTAGTTTGAGAATTTTCAATAGACTGTCATTTACCTTGATCCTAGCTCTAGGATTTGTATATAAAGTGTGGATAGTTTTGATACATTGCTCATGAAAATGAAAACTATTCGTTACTTTAAACAAGAATTCCCACCTTTCAGGATCAAATACTTTTTCTTCGTCCATTCCCATTATTAAAGCTGCAAATTTTTCCTAAGAGATATGCTGCATGACGTGTAATGTCACCCTACATTTCTACTGAGAGGACCAATAGAAATTAGTTTGCTCTGCATGGATGTTAGCAACAGTGTTTTCATTGGTCCGTTCACAGACCACCCAAAAATGTAGGGCAGAGGTCACAGATTAGCAGACCAGGGTATGGATCCGGACCCAACCTGATTTAAAGCATTTGTAAATTACCGCATTTTGTCCAACGACAGTGTCAAACTTCACTTAATCTGCTTCTCCTGTTAATACAGTAAAGCCGTCTGGAGCACCGGCACCAGGCTACGCCTGATACCAATTAGCGAATAAGCTGTCAGTCTGGGTTGCTGCTGCTGCTACTTTTAGACACAGCAGGCAAACCTGTGGCAAGCCGGGCGATGGGAAAGAAGGAGAAGATGATGAGAAAAAGAGAGCAGAGAAAGTGTAGACTGCTGGAAGAACTGTGGTGAACTGGTGAAAGAAAAGTGAAATGGTGCTCAAAGATGACCCTGAACATTTAGAGGATGTTTGGCTCAACCTGCTGCTGTGAAGTAGGATTCTCCACCATCAACAGAATCAACAATAAATCTGGATCCAGGCTCAGAATGAGCTCCTTGATATGTGCTTTAGAATGGCTTAGTCTCCATTTAAACCCAGGTTTAAAGCCTTGCAGGACAGCATAAAGCCCACTGCGAATATTAAGACAGAAAAAAGAAAAAACAAACGGTCATTTCAGGTGTTTTATTAAATATCTGAATCAGGAAATTGTCTATATACCAAACTGAAAGATTGTTGTTCTCTACTTCGAAGACAATTTAGATTTGAAAGTGGAAAAATATTCTATTTTGTTTTATAAATTTCTATTTTAATGTGAATGTATAACATGGATGCATAAACACCTCATTTTATTTTAAAATGCTGTGTTAAATTCTGTTTAAAGTAACAGATTATAATTAAAAATGTCTCTGGACCTTTACTGGTTGGTTTTCTTTATTTGGACCCCGCTGATTTTTTAAATTGGTCTAGTGTAGGGGATGAAATTAGATTTGAAATGAATACAGTTAGTGAAAAATTACATTTGAAACAAAAAAACTTTAAAAATAAAATATGAAAAAACATAAACAGTATAAATTACTCTTCAAAAATTTTTATTGTTTCATTGATGCGTTTTTTAAAGGTCCACTTTCTAAAAAAATGATTTTTTTTTTTCTGTATTGAAATGTTTTCTTTGCTTTCAAGTAATAGTGTAACAAATGTATCTCCATAGATGCAAGCCTTTTTTATCTTTTATTTATTTGACAAAGTTTCTCTTCTCTCCTTCAAGGCGAAGATTATGTGCTCGTCCATTTGTAAATGCGTCGGCTGCAAGAACTTCGAGGAGAGCCCGGAGAGGAAGACGCTAATGCATCTGGCTGATGCTGCAGAAGTGAGGGTCCAGCAGCAGACCGCAGCCAAGACTAAGCTGTCCTCACAGATCTCCGATCTGCTGATGAGGACCGCTCCCATTATTTCAAGTGGAGGCGGGAGGTAATTAAATGCTTTCTTTTCCTACATGCACCCAAGTAGAAATCACAATATTACGTACAGCGATCAGTTTAAACTAGTGCTGTCAATCGATTAAATTTTTTTAATCGCGATTAATCGCATCAATGCCTAAGTTAACTCGCGATTAATCACATTTTAATCACACATTATTTTTCTGATTGAAAATCATTTAAATACTCTCGATGACATACAAAAAATACATACAGGCTAGGTTTGTGCAAATGTTCTTTTTTTTAAATGAAAACAGGTCACAGACACTGATTTATGCCATAGAAACATATGGCAAGAAGATGGGGAGGCATGTAGCAAAAAATAACAAATATGTAGCCAAAAAAAAGGCCCTGAAAACAGGCTGATGTAAAAGACGGTCTTTACAGTTAATACAGTCTTTTGAACAAAGACAAGCATTTTACCCTACTGCTATAAAATGTAGTAGAGTTAACATTAGATGTTAATTAACCAAGATAATAATGAACAATCAATACATCAATAGACCGACATCACTAGATGGAGGTAGTTTATGCTCTAGAAAGTTACTTTTCAGCCTCTTAACAAAAATGAGAACACACACACACCCACACACACACACACACCCACACACACACACGATACCGACCTGTGGCGTACACAGACAGCAAGAGTGCCGTAGCAGATTCCATTTCACCTCAGTAATCTGTTTTCTCAGCGTATTTCAGGTTGCTACTAGTTACCAGACACTCAACTTATTTGTTGGTGGTGGGGCTTAAAGAAAAGGCACTAGCGCCACCCAGTGTATGAGCGTCTTTTTCCCTTGAGGAGGTCCGCTCTCGCAGCCTATGAGAAATGCATAGACTGGGGGAAAATTGCCCCGCCTTCCCGCAGGCTGCAGCGGGATGTACTTGGAAAATTGTACCATAAAACCACATAGCGTTAATCTGACGTTAAAAAAATTATCGCCAGCAGTCATTATTGGTGTTTTTTTATTTATTTATTTATCTATTTTATTTTATTTTCAAATTTTAGTGTTTTTAGTGTTTGTTTAGTGACTGCACAGCATCAGTGATGTAAGAAGGTAAAAAGGTAGCTGATGATGGCAAAATAAAAGCCACCACACCTTCAGAGTGAATAGAAAATAAAGTTAAAACAATGTTAAGCACACATTATATTAGTCCACTAATCATAACCTCAGTATAAAGTGAATTTAAATATCTTGAAATGTTTAAATTAAGTTTTCTAAATTTTGTAAAACCAACACAGCGAGCTCCTGTGTCTCTTGCTGTGGTTTAGTTTACGAAGCAAACTGTCAGATACAGTGCACAGCTCTTGGTAGTGAAGGAGAAATAGAGACAACAGTGCACAGAAAAAGCTATTAGAGATAATAGCTTTAAAATCCAGAAACTTTTCTATTTTTTTTTTTTTTTTTTTTTTGTGAGTTTACGGACTTGATGTGAAAGCGACTGTTTTACCATCATTATCTGACAGAAAGGAGACCTGCTTCCCTCAGCACTGACAGGAACAGTAGAGAGGAGACCTGCTTATCTTAAATGAAAAACACCCTCTGGTTACAAAAACATTTCCCTAAAAGCAAAACTACTCTAAAGAGTTTCAATAAAGCTAAAAAACAATTATTTGTTTCCAAGTTTGAAGACATTTCACTTCTCATCCAGGAAGCTTTGCTATTCAATTCTCTTCAGACTTGGTGACAAAGTCCAGTGGATTGTTTTTTAAAAAATTTTTTGGAAGAATCTGAAACATTTCTATGTAAATAAATGAGAAAAAAACATTTTTTATAATAGTCAGTTTCACACTGCACTATTTTGCGTTGATCCGTTGCTGCTTGTTATGACGCGCCTAGCGGCTAACGTACCTGTCGATCACGTGTAAACGTGATTCAAACGATCTTCTTGCAGTACAAAAATTGTTCCAGCCAGATGAACCATTTTGTGCAGCAAATCATTTATTCCACAATGCACGGCCACAGGAATAACAACGACTGCGCCACAGTGGTCAAAAACTTGTATGCCCTTCCTGATTCAACACCTGTCAATTACCTGTTATCTCTTCATTTATATACTGGAGCCGACAGCCCCATCTAGTGATCACAAACAAACAAAAAAAATAATAAAAAGAAACAAAAAATACACACATTTGGCTCCAATATTTATTTATTTATTTTTTGAAATGCTGGAAAATATTGGGATCCGCTTTACTCTTTAAAGAAGATCAACCAATGCAGGTTTATTAAAGCTAATATGGATTATTTTTATATTGTCCTGATCCCTGTTATGTGCTCCTGCTTCTTAAAGCAGATTTTTTTATTCAGTTATGTGTTAAAATACAATGGTTCCAAACCTGACGAAAGTGTTGAATATAAAATGAATCTTTAAATACATCAGACTAAACAATAATGGACAGCTAATGGAGGGAGCAGCCATTCATGCCTCTTTCCTGACTGCTTAGCGCACTAATGAATCAGTTGATCTTTGCTGCATAAACATTGGAGATTTAGGAAGAAATCTTCCCTCCAGGTTTCCTTAAAGATGTTGTTTGTGTTTCTGCTGCAGGCTTCCGTACACGTTTGTAACAAAGGAGGTGCTTGAAGCGACGTGCGAGTGTTTACTGGAGCAGGCCAAGCGGGCCGATCAGACCCGTCAGCCTCAGGCAGAAGCAGAGAGGATGATCCTGGAGGAGTTCGGACACTGCCTCATGAGCATTATCGCCTCTGCTGGGAAAGCTAAAGTAGACTGTGCCTCCATCAACTGCTAGGCTGAGCTCCTCTCACGCACACACCAATAGACTGCTCCCCATTGAAAGCGTGGATATCCTCCCACCTTAGGCTGCTGGAGCGAAGACGGACTCAGATCTGAGCAGTTTGGACTGTTCAGCTGCTTTGAGCTGGAAAACAAAAAGAAAAAAACTAAAGGTTGTCTGTGATGCACAGAAAGAACCGGAGCAGAACCTGAACCTCGGCTGGTTCCCGCCCTCTAAGGGCCCATGAGACTGGTTCTCTCCTCCTGTTTTTATTTTGTATATTCTACCCTTTGTCCTCCTGAGGTTTTCCAAGAATCCCTGTAATTTTAATGTCTGTTTATTTGTGCTTATAGTAGACGAACAGAACACGTATCTTTTGATATTTATTTTAACAAATCTTTGTAATCAGTATGAGTGCTAACTTGCAAAGTTTAGATTCCTGCAGTCTGATTATTAACCAAGGCTAGGCTACAGGTATGGGGGGTTTCTACACATGTACAGACCCAGAGGACCCTCCTCCTAGCAGCTGAGTTCCACTTCTCTCCTGGTGCTTTTTGATGCTTTATTAAACGCGCTCCATATAAAACCCTCGATCCACATAGCCGACGTTCCAGAAGCTGCAGTAAGCTGATAATCCACCGGATCCACCCTGCTTTACACCGACTCTATCTGACTTCAATCTAGTTTTAATTTGTAAAAATACCTACCACTCAGATCCTCCAGAATTTTAACAACTAGACTTGAATAAAAACTCCCTTTAGGTTAAAGCCAGATTCACTACGCTGTGGTTCCCCAGTCTCGCCTGCTTCATTTGTTAAATAAAGAACAAATCAAACTTGTCCACCTGTTAAGATCTGTTGTTGTGTTTCAGCATCCAAACAGTAGAACAGGGTCATTGACTGCATTTGGAATAGAAGCAAAGTTAGAAAACAGTCAACAGTTTTAGTAACATTAACTAGAAAAGGATTGTTTTTTTTTTATGAAATGTTTATATCTATGCTAATGACCTGCATTTGTTTAGGGGCGGCTCATCATGGAGGGCTTTAGCTGATGTGTAACTTATTTTCCAGCAGGCTGTAATCTAGGGATGTTAAACTAGACCCCTGGAGGGTCTGTATCCTGCAGCCTTTACCCCCAGATTCCACATCTTCCATCACTACTCCACCCCGATCACATACGCCCTAAGGAGCACTTCCGCTGTCATGCTGATCAATGAGAACTGTTCCACATCCGGTGCTCCTCTGCATGTCACCGTCCACATACGTCTTCCCCGTCCTTCATCACCAAAATACGGAGCTGGGCAATTTTTAGCTCTAGTCCGGCCAGGTCAAGATCTGGACTGCATGGAGGTACTGCTTGGGGGGTCGCCAAAGTTTTGGTTGATTAGACTTTTTTTTTTCAATATATATTCCCCCCTGTAATTTTTTCCACTAATTGAAATGTCTTTAAATTCACATTAACATGAATTCAACAGACTGTAGTAAACAGATAAATGGAGACAGAAGATGTCTTTCAGTCATCAATGCTCACATTCAGAGACACACAGGAGCTCTTTCAAGCTGGGCACCGTTTCATTCAAAGCACCTGTCCCATCAACCAGGAATCAGAAATACGTTAATAATACCAGGGAGGAACTTAACTTAATCTGTAATAGAGTGACTATAGGACCAGTTTCATATAACAATTTCATACTATATATAATCAGGGGGTCCCTGCTCCATCTCGCCATCAGTTTGGGGTTCCTTGGCCTGGAAAACATTGGAGACCCCTTCTTTAGAGCATTATTCTTATGTATTCCCCAACAACTACGACCGTTTATTTAAATTATTGGATACAAACTATTGGTACTCCAGCATACCAGGAAGCAGAGTTCTCATCTCCATCAAAATGCAGTATTTTAAACTAACAGGCTTAAAATCTTAATCAAATCCAGTCACAACGAGCTCCAAGAAAGTCTGAGCGGAGCAAGATGGGAGGAACCATGGAGGCTGTAGGCTTTGCTTTGCACATGCAGTCTGGAATGGAGTGGAGCGGGCAGCTACTTTGGGGATAGACATCTCCCTGCTCCAAAACAAGAATCAAATGGATTAATCACCTCCTCAGTACAAGTCTGTTAGATTCTGGCAGCTGTGTCCCCTGAAGGACCCAACCTACCTGGGCTGGGTCCTTCAAAGGCTGTGAAAATAAGAAGACTGGAAGAGTTCAGTGTTGTGATTCTATAGGTAAATTCTATTCCCAGCCCGCTGGGAATTTATGTTTCTGATCCTTTAAGATGTTTATTGCCTTCCCCTGTAGGGGTGGTAAAATATCTTATTTAATCAGATATTATTTCAGCTGTTATATAGTGTTTATGACACACAGTCCTACTAACTGTGTGTTAGAACAATAAATGAAAGAGTGATTCGAGCACTAATCATGGTCAAACAGTTATTTCTGCACATACATGGAATAAATTCACCACAACTTCTGTTCAAAATATAAGATTTTATTAACAAAAATCATTCAGCTCCACGTCAAACGTATTTCAGTTTAACACTCTCAACTAAGACTAGTAAAACTAAACTAAACTAACTACTATGTACAAAGAGGAAGGGGAAACGGTTGAAAAACATATTACAGTTTAAGATGGATTCTGTGTTTGAAACCAAAGTTTATCTGGAAGAATTTGGGATATGATCAAATTAGCTTTTCACTAATTTTAAAGAAATTGGAATGTTTTCCGACCAATTCACAATGCAAATCCATGAGGTGAATAAAACATTATTTGGCCAAATAATGTTTTATTGAATGATTTGCTTAATCAAGAACCAATAACCTTTAGTTAAATGATTCTTTACCCTCTTTGAAATAGCTAGCAGCGAATAGACATCAGGATTCCACTAAATGACTCTTGGTCATACTTGGTAATGGAAATGTAATGAGCATTTGAGGAACATATGAACACTAACGTTATATCAGTGTTGAAACCCTTAGTGAATAAAGCTTGTCTAAGCTTTAGCAACAGCTCAACACATACACATATTCCTGTAGCATAGCGTAGCATGCAGTCCATTCTTTAGCATCAATTAGCGTTGTCTTTACTCAGCAGTAAACACACAATATGATTAGCATCATCAAAAGACACATTGCTTGTTCTGTCCCTAATCATGCCAGACCTGCAAACCTTTTTCCATGTCCATTTGGAAAGCTTGAGTTTCATCCAGTTGTGCAGCTCTGCAGTCAGGGACTCTTTGTCTCAGTCTCACAGCAGGGCATGCTCCTCGTCCAGTTTGGCTCTTTGAGTTCTGAAACTCAAGATAAATGTGTTGCAAAGGTTCTGTTTGCAGCAGTTAGGTTCTGAAGAGTTCTGACTCATCCTTGATGGTTCTGGGGATCTGGTTCCCCTGGGGCCTGCATCTCCACTGTGGGCCACAGTGGGCCCCAGCTTCGAGCGCAGGAGCAGAAGCAGGCTGGATCAGACGAGGGAGAAAGAGTGAAGAGGAGAAGAGAATCCTGTGTGTTCTGTGGTTTTCTCTATCTTCACAGGGAGGGGGTAGGTTTTCACACCTCTGGTGGCTCCCATGTGACTTGCTGGTGGCTGCTTTTGCTGAAAAAGGGGGGGCTGCTGAAGTTCCCCAGCTGTTATTCACCAAAGCTGCGTTTTCTTCTGTGGTCATCCTATCAGGATAAAATATGGACACTGGTTCCCACTGTCCAAAAAGTATGATCATGGCATATGGCATAACATCAGCAATAGATTCAAACAGCCCAGGCCTTCTCTGGCTTTCACCTCTCTCAGTGTACCCTCTGTCGCCTAGCAACTGTGACAGTTGACACACAAAGAGGCAAAGAATGGATGCTGAACTTCTCACTACTGTTCTTGAGTTCATTGAGTTTCAGCAGCAGCTATCAGGTTTATAGTCCCCACACTGCAGAGGTACTGGAATCTGAATTTAAATGTCAGCACAGGGATGGATAAAACCCTTTCAATAAACCAAGCATTACCCGCTCCATCTGACTCAATAACATTTAAAACAAATATTTTCTTTCATTTAAGAAGAAATTATTAACATTGTATATTGTTAAACTGCACTTACAGCATTCACTGCTGTTTGCCATTTGCCTTTTTCCTCTGAGCACGGAGCAGCCAGCTTGATTGGACAGCAATGAATCATGGGATACCCTAAGCCAGAGGACTTCAACAGGGGCTCCGCGACCCCTAGGGAGTCCACGGAGGTACTGCATGGGGGTTGCGAAGGTCTTGCTTGATTACTTTTTTTTATATTCCCTCCTGCAATTTTTTGCACTAATTAAAATGCCTTTAAATACACATTAACATGAATTCAACACACTGTAGTAAACAGATAAATGAAAGCAGAAGATGTCTTTCAGTCATCAATGCAAACATTTAGCGACACACAGGAGCTCTTTCAAACCTGGGCACCGTTTCATTCACAACACCTGTCCCATCAACCAGGAATCAGAATCAGAAATACTTTAATAATCCCAGGGAGAAATTACTTTCGTTACATGACTCCATCTGTAATAGAGTGACTATAGGACTAGTTTGATAGAACACAATTTCATACAATATATATAATTAGTTAGATTACTCATTACTAAAAAAGGGTAACAGCATTAGTAACGCTGTTACTTTCAACGCTGTTACTCCCATCACTGACTATGAGGTCATTAACCAACGAATCTGGCCTTCGGAGGACACAGGTGCTGAATTTGAACACAGCAGAGTTCTTCAGATTCCTGCTAAAGACCTAATTATTTGATTCCGGTGTGTTAAAGCAGAGACCCAGCTAACATTCCTGTTGCACACAGCAAAAAACTGAAATCTAAGTCAATTTTTCTCAAAATAAGTGTTTTTGTTTCATTTGAGCAGGTAAGTTGGACAGTTTCCCCGATCTAGCATAAAAGAAGAACTTTTCCTCACAGAAGAAATGATAGTTAGTCCTGCAACAATCAACTTCGATGTTATGAAAAGGTCAAACATCTACATGCTTGAGGTTGGTGCAAAGAAAAATGGAAATAAAATCACAGTATTGAGTAGAAAAGAAAACAATTTTCCCCTTCCAAATTGCAGATAGTTTTATAAACTGTCTGTTTGCTCCATCCTCCTATCATTTCTCTGTAACCATTTAAGGCAGCGGTGTCAAACTCAAATTTAAATCGGCTCACTATAGCATCAAGTCTTTTAGAAAGGGCCCATTGATGCTCAATAAATGAAACCTAAGAGCACACTGCCTTGGTATTATTAACTTTACTCCCATAGCAGTTTTACTTAAAAAGAACACGCATCTCTCTGAGATAATGAGCTTTATTTTTTGCTTTTGAGGGCGACATAAAGTGAACTGGCAGGCCAGATTCAGCCTGTGGGCCTCTAATTCGACACAAATTTCAAGTGATGTATTGATGTGTGGAAAATTAAAGAACATATGTTTTTAACAGGATTGGATGATATTACTGTGATAACTTCAGTACCGACTAATGTTGGTCATTTGAAAATGTAGTAGTTTAACTGGTCGGACATTAACAACAAATGTTTATTTCCATCTGGTCTGTGTTTGTGTTTGAGGAAGGTAAGGGGAGGAGCTTGATCAATTTCTTTTAATGATGATACGCCAAAGTATTGTGGGTTTTGGTCATTTTATTTTTTCAGTTTCCGTATGGTGAGGGAAAATCTGCGATGCATAGTTTTGATTGATATTGGTTATCGGTAAATTTGTCAGCCCAGTTTTAAATATAAAAGCCTTTTATTTTATTGGACCAATCCAGAAAAAAAAAAGACTTGTGCTAATGGTAATGCATCGGTCATCCCTAAACTTTCAAGTCCACATTTTTCTTGCAGTTTTGTAGGATT